AATATATTTAATTATGTTTAATTATTTTTATTCTCTTAAGTTTAATGTCCTTACCTTGTTAGGCGCCTTTAGCATCTCTTGGGGTGGATATGTGCGCATTATAAATGTTGTTATTATTATTATTATTTATATGATGTACATGTATTAACATTAAAATAGCAAAAAATGAAAATAAGAATAATATGAATTTTTAACGCGCAGTATCCAAAACTTTCGATCAAAGCGCGACAAAAATTCAGATTACACAAAACACGTCATTGAAAATAGAATAAAGCAGAAGACCTAAAGGCAATACAAAGTTTTGGTAAATTTTGAAAGTCGGGTGGATAGTGATTCTTTACAATTTTGGATAAATTTGGATGCTTTTGTAGATGTATTATAAGCACTAACAAATTAAGCTCCTAAAACACTTCTGTTTTCGAGATAAATTGAATATATAAATTTACCGGTGCTCCGGTAAATTTTGATGAATTTCAAATTTCGCCTACGGCCGTACAATGGTAGTTGCTGCCATGACAATATCAGAATATGTAACTGTGATATGTAATTTCAAAACTGGAATAGCTAATTGGTTGATTATAGTCAAGAAACATTGTTTTGTAGCTTAATTAATATCTTTACCTCGAGAGGGAGCTATACAACATAAAGAGTTTATTATTTACAATTTCATAACTTTAAACTCGATTTAAACCGCGACAACGATCACTAAATATTGTAGGATCGCATATGCTTTCAATATATTAATTTAAACCGAATTCGTGACCCCATATCAAAACTTTGTATTACCTTTAAGCTAGATCTAGAAGGTGATAGAGGCCCCAGGAAAGGAATCTATATGGGCGACCAAACCTTTAACACATAGTATAATCAGAAATATAGTAATTAAAACAGCCGCATATAAATGAAGTAAATCTTTTTTTCAGGCATGACATGAAATGCGTTAAGTGTAAGTGTGTATATTATGTAAATGTATGTCTTATGTAAAATGTTTTTTGTTAATGAGGTTATTAATGTATATGTACATATGCAAAATGTGTGTGCGAGTGCATGGGTTTGGGGCTCTTATTAAAATATGACTTGTATGCTGGTAATAATTTAAGCTTCATGACAGCCTTGAAAAAATAAGTCGTAGTACATGATTTAACAGTAATTGGGAGACTATTTCATAGGTCGGGGTCATGGTGTCGGATAGATTTATGCGCAATTAGTTGAGTTCAATTTTGGGGCTTATCAAATGAAATTCCTGACAGATTCCTGTCTGATAATAATTGATTGTGTTGTTTATAACAAACAGGTTGTTGAATGCCGGGGAAAATAAGGTTATTAGAGTATTTGAACATAATGATTGCTATCTGAAAAGAATTGATATAAGAAACTGTTAATGTTTTAGCTTCTGAAATAAGGGTTCTGAATTTGCAAGGATGATCCGGTACAAATTAAAAAAACGTCCTTTAATGCCCCATATGAAAAGGATCTAGTTTTGTCTTCGTATAACTTGCCAAACCATATTACAATACCGTAAAATATGGAAATACCATTGTATTATGCAATTAAAGAAACAAAATATTTTGAGTAAAAATTTTGTTTAATTTTACAAATATTTCCTACACCTTAGGATATAAATATAGATCTTTTAATATATTTCAAATGGTCATTCATGTCAGACATTCATTAAAAATCACTCCTAAAACCTAGAGTTACGCTTTTGTCAATTAGCTAATTTTCATATCTGAAGTTCTGTATGCATTGGGTTGGTTGAGGTGTATTAAATGAGTTTTGTTTATATTAAGAGATAACGTATTCCTTTTAAACCATGTGGAAACTTTTGGTTACTCAACATTAAAGGGAATCATAAGTATTTTGATGTTCTTGTGTGAGTAAAAATATTTGTGTCATAACAGATGATGCGTTCGTTACATTGTTGACATACAAAAAAAAAAAGAAGTGGTCCAAAAACGGAGCCTTGAGGGACACCACACCTAATCGGCAAAAGACTTGAGTCAGTACCATAAAATGAAACATATCACTGTCTGTTCGCCAAGTAGTCATTAAACCAGGATAGAGTTTGCCCTCGAATTCCTCGAAGTTTTCGTATATATAGCATAATGTAATATAGCATGGTTGAGCGTATCAATCGCTCTACTTAAATCCAAACATATTCATATTACATGTACTTTTTTTTCTTGTTTGCCATTGCACTGGTAATTTTGTCGTATATTTGTATGTAAGCTAAATCTGTCTAGTGGTTTTTCTAAAACCCTTATAGGTTTGGATTCAACAATTCGTTTTTATTAAGAAAATCATGTAACCTATTGTAAAAAAAAAATCAAGAAGTTTTGATATTTGCTACGGAGTATAGATATTGGGCGATAATTGCTTATTTCATGTGGATTGTCCTTCTTATAAATAGGAATTACTTTCGCTACTTTAAGGAGATATGGACATAATCCTGTTTAAATCTAAAATTTAAATATGCGAACTAAATAAATGGGGATACAATGAAGTATATAATTTGTTTAAGAAGTGCGGTGCGAATCCTATCACGACCTTCTGATTTAATACTGGAGTTTAGTAATTTTGTCTTATTGATTATTTCTGGTAAATGTGTTGGCTTAAAGAAAAAAGATGTTTCCAAAATACCTGGAAGAAAAATGGTAAGATCAACATTTGTAGTATCATCTTTTTTGTTTGCTAGTTGTGGGCCAATATTACTACAGAATGTATTGAACGAAGTAGCATATTCATTTGTATTGGATATCTCATTATCATTTAGCGTCATATTATCTTTTGGTAGAGGTTCGGTTTTCTTCCCCATTGTCTCGTTGATGACACACCACGTTGATCCAACATTGGAGCTAACTATACTTAATTGTTCAGAGTAATACAACTTCCAAGAACATTGAATGTTTCTAGTCAATTCATTACGATATGTGTGTAATGTGTGCTGGTTAAGTCTGTTGGATTTTGCATGTATGTAATTTGTAAAAACCTTTTTTTTTGTTGTTCTGATTGATTTCATAATACCTTTTATAATCCATGGGTTTCTTGTGATGTAAGAGTTACGTTTCTCTCTAACAAGAGGAAACTTTGTATAATGATAGTATTGTATTCACATCATGTTTATTTAAAACATTTGTACGTTCTTCTAATAATAAATCTTGTTTAAATGACTCAATTTATTAGGAGTGTCTATTTTGTTAAAAAAACTGTCGAGTTTGTTAAGATAAACTAAACAGAACTGAGATATTACAAATATCTGTTGGTGGTCAAATATTTTGGGAAAACGTAGACCACCAGTAATAAACGTTATTTAACAAAGTTGAGGAATGCGTGTCAATCCTGGTAGGTTGGTTTATATAAACGGAAAAAGCATAAAAGAAGGCCTACATGAAATCGACAAATTTATCTTAATTAATACAATTTTTTTTTTTTTTAAAGGTTTATATTCTAGTCACCTATTAAATGTGTATGTTATTGAGTAAACGATGTTGAGACAGTTATCATAACTGAAGAAAACAGCCAAATTCGGCCACACCACGAAAATGGTCGTCTGTTACACAGCGTGGCACCAGGTTAAGCACCATACGATTCAACTGCAGATAGTTGAAAAGAGCAAACCCAAGTAATCTTCATAATTGTAAAACCAAGCATACTGTAGATGAGAATATAAATTATAAAATGACAAAAAAGAAGTCAGTTACATAACGTGGCGCCAAATCAGGCAAATTTACGTTTTGCCTTTATATATTTAATAGAACAAGCCCAATAAAGTTCGAGACTTTGTAAAAGAAAAGCCTTTAAGTGTGTGAATGGGTTTGAGTTTGAGTTTGAAGTTTATTATCCAAAACAAAAATTACATCAATATAACAATAACATGTGAATGATTAACATTGAAAGGATAAATGGGACCAAACAAATAGCATTTAATGTTAATCGTGTCTGGTACCTCTACAAAAGTATCACATCAATAAATGATAATGTAATGAATAAATATGAATAACTGTTGATTACATACTTAAGCTACAAACTATTCTACATCTAGGGTAAATATGTTCTGTGCTAAAATACAGAGCTTTGGTATTTTACACTAAATAACAGATAAAGAATTATATAACATAATATTTACAAAGAGGCAAGAGCCTTGGTTCAAAGTTAAAAACACCTATTCTATTAATTTTTTGACATTAGAGTTCTACAAAAGCAAGACACTGATGCTTTCTCCCGTACAGATAGGGGTAGATCATTCCAATAGCGTGTGCCTCAAGAATGACATTGGAAATTTACCTTGCGTTGTCTTTACTTTAGGCACATTTAAATTCTTACTTTCTCTTTGTCTAGTCTCATAGTTGTGCTCTATGAAACAGCAATACTGAATTAGAGACTGTGGCAATTTATCATTCAATAATTGATACATAAAAACACAAATAGATAATTTATGGAGTTGATACACATTCAATAATTTAGCACCAGGAATATCGGTTGTGAATGAGTCCTAATTGGACTAAACGTTATAAATCTTAGTGCCATCTTTTGGCTTTATAATAAACACTTCATGTTCATTTCATAATTACCCCCAAACCTCAATTCCGTAGGTCATATGTGGTTGGATTAATGTCTTATACAGTAACAACTAAACACTCCTTGGCACAAACTGTCTTAAACTATATAAAACACCAACCCTTTTCCTAATACACTTATTAACCCTTTGGAAATGAGGTTTCCACGTCAAATGTTGATCTACATAAATTCCTACAAATGATGTAACATCAACCTGGGCTATTTCAGTCTCTGCTATTTTTAGCACCCCTTGGGTTACTACTGATTGCCTACTCCCTCTTATTAACAAATAATTAGTATTTAAGAGATTTACTGTAAGTTTATTCACCTTACACCATTTGGTCACCTTATCAAGATGCATATTAACTATATCTATATCAATCAAATTCTCTCTTGGTGGAAACGTATGAAACAAGTTAGAATCATCGTCAAAAATTCTAACATTAAAATAATTTGTTGAGTTTGACGAATCGTTTAAGTACAACAAAAACAGTGTAGGTCCCAACACGGAACCCTGAGGAACACCACACGATATTATTTGCTTCAATGAGCTATGTCCATGATAGTTCACAAACTGAAATCTATTACAAAGATAACCTTTAAACCACTGGAGAGGCGGGCCCCTTATTCCATAATGCTCTAATTTTCCAGTCAAAAAATGATGTACTTCATTATGTGGCTGTTATGATGACTATATTTCTGACTATACTATGGGTTACAGGTTTGGTCGCCCATAAAGGTTTCTTTTCTGAGGCCGCCATCACGTTCAAGCTCTGGCTTCAGGTGGTCTCCTACTTTTCTCAATTTTCAATAAACTGTTTTGTGTAAATTGCATTTTCATTTTTTTCGCGCCTTGATCGAATGTTTCGGATACGTGCGCGCTTTAAATTAAATAAGAAATATATAAATGAATAACTAAATAATATAAAAAAATCACAAATAACACATGACAAAGAAATATCCTATACAGTAGACCTAAGCGATATGAAATGGGCAGTCGTAATAGGACAGGGCGACGGTCAAACGATCTTCCATGAGTTCAACGCTGGTATACATGGGCAGCCGCAAGGTACGGCGGTAGCCATGGTTATCGCAGCCATGGCCAACTGGCAACAGTCGGGTGAGTCTGTCTTCGGTGTCGTACGGTTGCTCGTCCACGAAATCGTCCATGGGTACATGGAGGTGGTCAATGTGGAGACCTAGGTTTCGTAGTCCACCGACCGGGATGCGATCAGACCCCGCGACAAAAACTGCAACAAGATAAATCATAATAATAATAGTTATTATTATAATGAAAATAATAGTAGTGATGATAATGATAATAATTATAATAATAATAAAAAAGATGAAATGAAAAATACTGATAAACCTCACGACATCAACATTGCAGTCAAAGACAGAGCCAAAAGACTTAATAACAAAGATCTGATGATCTTACCGAATCCATACTGCGGACGTGCATAAGTTGGTTATATTGGGCACAGCGAGACTCATTAGGAAAACACTTGGAAATTACAATAAAAGTGTATAATAAAAAGGTGCACTTGAATGCACTTAGTGCTTTTTTTTTAAATTCCTTCTAGAAACAAAAACGGTCGTTATATACATCAAATATAATTATACCTCTCGTTAGTATGTTGAATAAATCTAGTCATCTAACTGGTCGAAATTGGAGTCGTGATTTTAGCCAAGAACACGATAAGGTAAGAATTCTTTGTAGAATTGTTTGTCAATTTGGTATATAAAAGTTATATATCGACTGCTTTAATATTCGAAGCATAGCTGTTTCTATACCTGCTCTCGGAGAGGTTACATCCTGATATGACCACTCGGGGCGCCGCCAACCCCGGCGCGCCTCAGGGTCATATCAGGATGTAACGTCCCCTTGAGCCTATCGAAACAGCGATGCCTCTCATAGTAGTCAAAATATCTATATTATGGAATAAACAAAAGGTAAATCAAACATTTTAGACTTACCGAGGAATTTTCTTTTCATGTCATTGTCTAGAGCGTGAAGTACCTTCCAGAACATCTTGATTGTTGGGTGTGAGTCTGTATATGGCTGTATATACTGGGTCGACTGAAAAAAATTAAATTATATATCATAAGAAAAAAAGAATGTGCAAATCTTCAATGTGGTTTGTAATTTTTGGGAAGTTTGTCATTGACTACTATACAAAATACAGTGTCAAACACAATAAACATTTTTGACAAATATTTATGCTCTAATATTCAGTCAATAACCGGAGAACGAATCGTTCTTAAACTGTGTCATTGTGCTCTTTTTATATTAGTGCCCTTTTGTGAGGCATTAATCCTCATTACTGTCAGTTATGATAAACAAAGTAGCATACACATGCTTTAGCAGTCACGCAAAACAAACACTTTTATTCAATACAATATGATAATGTATACAAATAGATCTATTAGGAATAAATCCTTGTCATTATCATTCCATAAATTGGGGTAAAAAAATTATTCCACCTTCATGACCAATAGTGTACATGTATATTTAAATGCATAGTGGTACACTTCCGTGTTTAAAAGATCCGTTGACATTTGTGGCCATTGACACTTTGTGCTATTAAAAAACTACGAACTGGCCTATCATCTAATTTGGTTGGTCCATATTACCTGTTCAAGAGCTTTCCAATCGAAGTGTTTTTCTCCCATGACAAGCGCCTCCAACTCGATAGGTCTGAACAAAGCAAAGGCGGCGGGATTGAAGACTCTGTTGAATCCTTGCTGGAAGGCTGCAAACTGTGACGGAACCAGGTACTCTCGAACCATGTTGTCCACGTAGAGATCACTTTAGCACAAAGAAGTTAAAATAACAGTTGGAAGATTGAGAATATCAGAAAGCATTAGTGAAATGATAATTAACGAAAGGGCATGCAAAAGAAGCATGAAGTCGGCTGCACATACTGTGGTAAGAAATTATGTAGGGTAATTTTCTGGGGGTAATTGCCCTCGGGAGGGGGGGGGATTGATTGACCCAATGGAGGTCAATTTTATGTGGATTAATTTGTCTGGGGGTAATTGTCCTTGGGGGGTAGTTGTCCCGCTGGTAATTTGCAGAAGGGTGATCGCCCAGTGGGTAATCGTCCAAGAACCTTTGACAAATCTGCTATATTTACTATATGCCCAGCTTTTGATCAAGCCGCCTTCGGACATTGTTGAGCCTGTTTTCCTTACACATTTTCTGTCGTAACCTCTACGCTCCTCCCATCCTCCAGTTTAACCTCATCGCCATAGCAACTCCCAATCACGTCATCTTCTGTTCCAGTACGTAATTTGGACATCTGATCTGTGAACTCCTTGTCGAGCTCTGCTGCTTCCTCCATATCACTGTTAGGGCTGATAATCAACGTGAAATCAAAATAAGTTTATTTTATTTTAACATAGCATTGTCTTAAAGAGACATGAATAACTGAATAAACGTGTGAGTCTATGATTGAAAATAACAAGAAAACAATAAATAAAAAGGAAATAATTAAAAATGTAGGTGAAAGCTGAAGGTGAATAAATACATAAAGAAACTAATAAAACAATGATTCTATATATACGTATCTGAAATTATATCCCAACGCTGCCACCAGTGTTAGAGGGTTTCTGACTCTAGACACCGCAGACATTACTTAATCGTATTCCTCTATAAAGGATGAAGTCAATTAGTTGTAGAGATAGAATCACGGTCAACTATATTGCATATGGGCGTGTGTGGTTTTTGTTAAGCTTATAAAAAACACAAGGCGGCATCATTTAGACTATTTACCCTTGATATTCTGAAATACTACTAGTTTAGCAAATCATTATTTATTTCTCTTATTTATCCGGATATTTCTTCAATGTAACGATGCTCTGTATAGATACAACAAAAAGGGAATTAGGTCTTTAGCTAAGTCTGAGTGTCACTACAATGATTACATTATTTTCTTCTTCAGATTCTAAATATAATTTGTTATGTTACCAGTTGTTGTCATTATTGATGCTGTTGGTGGTGGTTTTGTAGTTGTTGTTGTAACACGTGAGGATATGACCCTTAAGTGTTCAATCAAGTCGAGAAGGGAAACACAGGGAAAGGGCTTTCTCGTTTTTCACATATGTTGTTCTTTATGGTAACGATGTTGTTGTTGTTGGTGGTGGTGTTATAAGAGCAACATACCCCTTTCCTAGAAGCTTGGCGTAGAGGAGTTGTGGAAACGGTAATGGAACTATTGCCTTGTTGTACAATGAAAACCCAAACAGAAGACCACATATCTCGGCCAGTTCCGAGTCCTCACAGTCCTGTTTTTTTTTTTACAAAGGTTATCAGAAAGAGTGGTTTTGGTTTTGTTCATGAAAATGAATACGTATTGCACAGGCATATCTCTTTTTTTGTTATACAAAGCAAAGTGAGTTTTGTTAATTCATTGCATTTTCTAAAATATAAATGAAGAAACATAACTACAATACAAAAGCACTATGAGTCCTCCAAAAATACACCAGCCAAAATCTTGAATATTCATGATAAAAAGACAAATACATATCGAATAGCTAGAGTTTTTCTTAATTGGGTTAAACACAGCTATATTGCATGTCAACCCAAAAGAATCAAACGCAAACTTATTTTACAACCACTCAGTGAATCATATTGAGAACTTCCTTTGAGTGGCGTTCAATTGATACTTGTTATTCGAAATTCCGAAGAAAGCAATACCTTCATGCAAAATCTTTTAAACGAGAAATAAAGTATGTTTGGAACATATTTTACCCGACAAAAGAGGTGAAACTTTGTTTTTATCTAAAACTCAAATTTGTATCAATATACAACATAAACAATGGCTAATGTGAAAGTCAATCTCTGAATAATTCCCGAGTTTGAAGATGTACTCAAATTCGCCAGTAAATTGTCTTAAAAAAAAGGGTCTGATCACAATTGAAATACCAAAAAGATTCATGTACCTTTCGAAACCAGACAGGCGAGTGAGTCTTGTCGAGTTCGTTGACATATCGGAAAAGATCGTTCGTTTCCGGATCGAGAAGTTCCTCAAAGACAAGCCGGAAAAAATCCTGTTTTGAATAAAATAAGAAGACATACATATCAATGTTGGAACCCTTTGGTATTTTTTTATCATAGTGAAGGCTCTTGTCTCTCAAAAGTGAGATCACGGGTTCGATCCTTGCTTGGTGCAGTACTTTGTCCTTCTAAACATTTATAAATATTCTCTCTCTCTATCCCTCTCTCTCTCTCTCTATCAAGGTGTATTCAAACGATGGCTATTACAAGGTTTCCACTTACCATACTCAGAGCCCCCTCGTCAATGCCCATTTCATCCATAAAGTGGACCTTGAGAGGTTTCTGAAGCATATACCTCGGGAGACACAGCATCTCGGCTAACTGCTTTCGGACACTGCTCCCGAAGACGTCCTCCCGGTTTACTTCAAGGTGAAGAGACACACGTGGTGGAAACCCGAAGAAAGGAAGTATGTCAAACGTTGGGTCTAGGTTCCTTTCTTGCTCCATGGCATCCTTGAAATAAAGAATTGTTGAAAAAAATAAAAACTTTGAAATTACAGAATATTACCTAAAAATTGCTGCAATAATCTTAAGAATATGACAATATATTACACTAGTATCCAGCATCACGTTAATACTTCAATGCGCATTACAATGGCATTATCATTACTCTTGATCACTGTGTTTCAAGCCCGCAAACGGAGTGCACCATTTCCATTCATTTGGTAGTTTTTCTACCATTTTGCACGATTTACGCACATTTATTTAGGACAATGGCGAAAGTAGTCACATTAGCTTTCGTCAACCCTCATAGGTATCTATTATCTACTGGGTAGAGAGTGGTAATGAAGATCATTGAATTGACAACCGACGTCATTCCGCCCCAGAGGATCCAACCCCGAACCATGTGATTCAAAGTCCGAAGAGATTTTTGACTAAACCACACGCCTCGAACCTTGCAATTCGATTATGACAAATTCAAAAATATTCTTGCATAGAATACAGATGTAATTAAGAACTGATTAAAGGATGAACCATTACAAAATGCAGAATTTTCAAAATTCAGAGACTAAGAAATTTAGATAAATTTGGGAACAAAATGATTTGGCATTTTGTAGGCCTACACGGTCAATTAGCAATGTTTTACAGAACTGTTGACCCAACTTCTCACAAGAAATAAAATTAAACTTACCTCTTGTTCATCAATGTTCTGGTGTTTAAACATTACTGTTTTCAACTCTAAATCAATGAGGAATGGATACGACGTCCAGGAGAATTTCCGCAAAGGCTATAACCATCAAGAAAAAGTACACGATCGTTGTTCTTGTTTATAGTGACACGAGAGTGATGATAACGAATTCATTCATGCACGTAAAAAGCCAACATTGTGGGAAGATGGGTTTACGATGGGACCGTGTCGAATGTAGTAAAGAAATTCATAAACATTGCAAATTTGAGAATAATAAATTACACGTTAAAACAAAAACAAAATGAAAACAAAAAACAAAGGCATCACAATGGAGAGACTCTGTTCTTATTGGATGATATTAAATTAAATCAAATATGTGTTGATGTTTTATTCAAGTAAGATATTGGTGATATGACGATGAGGTTTAATGAATCAATATAAATACCAACAAAAAAGTCTCGTTATCACCTCGAGATCTGCCTTTTGTCCTTGCTATCATACTAGAGTACTAGAGTACGACAGTTCTATAGTGATGTCAATTATGTTTGCAAAGGTGTTTCGATGTGATACATGGCGCTTTTTCATTTATTTTCAGACGTTCGGTTATCCGAAAGTTCAATTTTTCATGTTCGATACTGCAACAATTAAATATAAAGAAAGTTTGTAACTATAACAAAAAATGATAATAACTAATTGGGCACATTATGCAGATTATTAACAATTCAGCATATATAATGAAACCCTAGATCATCCATTTCGGAAGTGTGAACTCCCTTGTATGGCAATTTTTGTAAGAACCTTCGATTCTTTGGCAAAACAAGTACACCCCTTCTCTCCATTAAAATGAACGGTAAGACCTGTATCACTTACTCGAGGTGGAGGTACACAGTTCATTCCAAACAACTCTGACAACAGTGGCTGAAAACTGACTATGTCTAAATTTTTGACGTAGAACGTCTTAATCGAAAGAATGTCGTGCTGGAGATTAACCTAGTATAGAAAAAATATGAAGGATAACACAAAGATTATGCATGGTCTCTTTCTGAATGCACAAAATTATCGATAAGACATATTACTCTCTTTAAAAAATTACCAATGATCAAAGTGAATATGTTTCATTACAGACACCTAAACCGTGTTGAAAATTATCCTCACGGGAAGGGTGATGGTGTTGGCGGTAGTGAGTTACATATCGCGAATCCATGATTTTTTTTCTTCCAAGTACAGTGTAACATTTTAGCTCGGAACTTGTCTGGGGGATATGCGTAGAGAAGAAGGGGGAAGAGGGTAATTTGAGCCCTTATTCTCGGTGAAATCTTCCTTTTAAAAAGTCAATTAGAATAGGATTAAACTAGTTTGTCACGCTAAATATGAGACGCTGCCGGTGAGTGCGTGAGCGTGGGTTGGTGGGTGAGTGTTTGGATGTGTGGGTGGGTGGGTATGGATGTGATAGGGCGGTTGAATGTGGGTGTAAACCAGTATACAAGTGGTTATAATGTATCCTTGTGTTTTATTTTGATTGTTTCTTCTTCTTCTTTAATTTCCCTTTTCTTTGCTGACGCGAATCAATCAAACGACCCGTAAGGTTACCATTGCCCGCAAGTGAGGTGAGAGCATTCCGATAAATGTTCTAACAGTGACCCGACATTTGCTCCTACGATAATTGTTCTGCGCTTTATATTGCGTCAGAGGTATAGGGTTAGGGTTGTAATTCGGCGTTAGGGTAGATGTAGGGTTAGCATTGTTGTAAGATATAGTGTAGGATCCAGGGTTAAATTTCGGAATTTGGTGAGTGTAGGAAATTGACTCAGAGCAATTCTCGCAGAAGCAAGTTTAGTACAACCGTGACAAAATCACATGACTGGTTCAAATACTATTAACTATCTCACCTGATTCAAGGAGCTGAGAACTCTCAGGTAAGTCTGAAAGTTGTCCAGTTCTTTATCCAACAGTGCTCTGTCATTGATTAGAATTGTCAGGGACAGTCGGTAAGCCGTGATTGTTCGTCGAAATGACATCGGTTCGAACTTCCACCATCGAGCTAAGATGAAGCAAGTGGATATAGAATAAAAGTTAGATATGGTGTTTGGTGCATTGCAGGGTTAAAATCAAGGCTTCCAATAGTTTTTTTATATTGAAATTGCTGCCGCAACTCATGTCATACAAACTGGCTTCACAACTTTGAATTTTTGCTAAACATCACATAAGGAAATTGTTTTCAGAGGTATTTATCAACTTTGGAGAAACCCGGAGTACAGGCAAATACTTGGAAAACAGCGAATACCCCATAGTGGACATAGTTCTCTCATCATGAGAGGCAGTACGCACTAAAATATTTTTTAATCTCCTCCAAAGTCAATTTGTAAAATCTTGTTTTTGATAATAATTATTTTATACGTTTTTTGCCATTTCGAAACAATTTTTAAAATGACCAATCATTTATGGATTTCAAGATAATTCGCCCAATGCAGTAACAAAGGTAGACTTTGCATTTTTTCCCCCGATGCCTAATGCTCAGTTTTCCCGAAGTTGACTGTGTCTAATTTCATTTAATTTTATTTTATTTCAACACGGATCACTTGCTTCAGCCAATAGCTGTTCTTCTGCAAGTCCATGTATACATAATACAAATCTCATATGACTGTTTACCAGGTGTTGCCGAGTTCGACTTGTTGTCTCCGGCCTGCGATGACTGGTGAAGGAACCCCATCAGGCTTTCTGCAGCGGCCAGGGCACGGCGCCCCCAGGGGCGGTGAGGGTTACTGAAGACAGGACATTCCATCAAAACAAAGATGAACCGAAGAGCTTCGACGTGGGGTGTTAACTGAGGTACGCTGTTACACAGATCAACAGAGATCACATTCGAGAGCTGTGGAAAAATGATTTTGTAAATAAAGAAATTATTAGGGACAATTCAATTACTTGTAAAGATATGGCATGATTGTGCCCCAAAACACTAGTTTACTGATGTCTTCAACATTTGTGCGTATGGAGTATAACATTTCAATTTAATCATGTGGTATTTCAGTTGTTAATGTGTTGTTAATTGTGGTTGTGTGTTAGAAAGATCCATTTGATCTTTACAGCAAATCATAATATTTCGTCCAGACAAGGTAATACAAATATTAATAAGAAATAAATAGGAATCGCGATGTGTGATAACAATTTTCTATAATAATAATAATAATACAATATTTATAAAGCTTTTTTAAAGTTTTATGCGCTGTACAAGCATGAATGACGAGAAATATAATCACATAAAAGGAATCAACAAAAGTAAATGTACAAATCTTATAACTACTGAAATGACTAACTTAACATAGTAAATAACATAATTTAAAAAATAGCTAACATGGTCAAAAACAAATAACGTAAGTAAGGATAATGTAAATGGCTAAATTTGACTTCACTCCCAAAAAAAACATTTAAAAAAAAGTCGTATCTCTTCCCACGAAACCTGAGTGTGTTATTTTGAATAATGAATGCGTGTTCGTTTGATTAATAAATTTTATCCTTGCAGTATTTAATTAATTTGTAATTTGGTACAAATCTTAAATAGGTGACAAATGATACGAATAATAATGATGAAACCTAGCGTGCAATTTAAAAATGTTATCAACTTATCATGATCACCTTTTCAAGGAGTTTGTCGTTCTTGCTGATCACTTCGAACGCCCTTCTTGCTGCTTTTAGATCAATGTTAAGACCATCGACTTCGTTTGGTCTGAAAATATGAAGTACAAACATTACAAACCGAACACAAATGCTTTCAAGAAATAAGCTTATTAAACAGAGATTTCAAATACCGTTTATTATCGCCTACAGAAAGTATAAGGAAATTGGTGTTGCTTTTGTTTGATTTTTTACAAAAGTACGTGCAACTGAAGTATATTAAAGATACTAGTCCATTTGGAACATGTATAATTAATAATAATAATTATAATTATAGGCATTTCCAAGACACCGTATATCTAGAAATTCTATTCCCAGGCCCATTAATTATTACACCGGCTTTAGACTAGCTGTCATTACAGGCTTTAGACTAGCTGTCATTACAGCACTCTAGCATTTCAAGGAATTAATTCCTGTCAGGTAACCATTTTTACCTCACCTGGGTCGATTGTCGCAAATGAAGATTAATGCCTTGCCAAGGACATTAGAGCCGTATCGGGGATCGAACCACGACCCTTGAATTGCAAGTCAAGTGCTTAAACCACTCGACCACGGCACTTCTCAAATCAAAAGATAATCTAAGAGTGTGGCAGATTAGAGGGAACCCAATCCACCTGTTGTTAAGCTTTACTGATAAATGTAAATACATAAACGAGTTGTATGACCTATGAAATCATTATCCTTTTAAAACATCACCATTTACCCTGTTTGGCGGAAGGATGCATTGAGGCAGGCGGGGGATGCGAACACCATGCTTGTATATTTGAATAAGGCGACCTCTCCATTGACGTCTTCTTCCATGTCACTTAAACTCTGCAGCCGTTCGGCAGATAGAGTATAGATCTCCCTTCTCGGAGTAATTGAGATATGGACATCTTTCCTCTGTGGGTAAGAAAAAAATGAAGCATTCAATTCAATTCAATTCTGGTTTATTGTAAATAAAAACATACTGAATAAAAAGTCCGGAGACTCATACAATTCAGTTTACAAATTATAAATACATACAAGAATAAAAAATCAATACTTTTAGCAATCTTTTTTTAATATTAATTACTGATTCTAATGAACTAAACAACTAATTTCAAACAATCGTGAAATAATACATGTTTTAATTATGCAATTAAAACGTTTAAATAGTAAAATATGTTGTTATCATTTTCTAAATGTCATATGCAATTTTGTAATACACTTTCAAATTAATAAATAGTCTTTTTTAAACCTAGTTAACATTTCTTTAAAAATATATTTATATAAAGATGATTATCCGAGAGATATGATAATTCAAAATACAATTCAAATGGAAGCATGGAATAAATACCTGCTCATTTTCAAACTCAAAATGGTATCAAAATAAAAGACATCATAACCTGCAATTAAGATCATTATTGAATAAAATATGTCAGGTTAATTTCAATACTTTGGGTCAAAATGTCATAATTATTAATATGCCTATTAAAAATGTATTTTTTATATTTCATTTACAATTTTTTTTTCATCCTTGAAAATGAATTTATCAACAAAAAATGAAGCTCATCTCAAACTCAAAAATATATAAACAGGACACTTTACACACAACTAAAAAATTCCTTTTTTTTTCTTCCACCTTTCTGGCTTGTCGGGCAACAGGAGCAATAAAAAACAAAAGCTACAACATACAACTTGAAGTACACATACCATCGGTTCGTCCTGCTCTATGATAAAGAGGGTGTCCTGTCCAGGACATAGTCGGCGCCAGATTCTTGGTGGCCTTTGATGGTTCTCCTGACCAACAACAGCTTCACCAGATACATCTTCAAACGTTTCTCTCGCAGGAAAGTCATGGTCGTTGGTGACTGCAATTGCATCCAATGTAGCAGAAAGATCAGTGATGCCGTCCTCAGTAGGAACGGGGTGTTCATCGTGTGATGCTGGCTCATCCTTTACAGATACACCCACTTGAGCAGTGTCTGCAAGGTCTAGGGCACCTTGACCCGTAGAATTGGTGGCAGCGATGGAATGTGTTGCAGCATCAGATGAGAGAGGCACAGTCTTGTGGAGTTCAGTTGCTGTTGTATCTGTGTCCGTAGCTGCTCTCTCCTTGTCCTTTGTGGATTGGCTGTGCTTAGGGGATGTTTCAACTGAATCAGCGTGGTTCATTGACATGTCATCTTGCTCTTTAATTTGCGTCCATCCAACTCCCGGAACATCATGAGAACCATCACAGGAAATACTGACACAATCCTGATCACAAGTCACAAATGAATCATCATCACTGTACGCGTCATCAATGCTGCTACCGCAGTCGAGAAAATCATCATTTTCATTGCGGTCGTCATGAAATCCACCAAATCCACTATCGATTATGGTATCATGCTCTGCGGTGTCTTGAGCTTCAGATGTACAACCATCTGAATCACCATGGTTGTCCTCTGCAATTGTTTCCTCCTGCTTCTCTGTCTCTCTGACAAAAATGTTGATGTCAGCGACATCATCTCTGCGGGGACCTTCTTCGAACCTTTCGACGAGTTCGTAATCGCCTTGAGGCCTTGATGGTTCCCAGACCTGTGGGTCAAAGACGTAACGACCGGGTGGCCAATCAGTGGGCGATTCAGGTTTAAGCACATCAATCATTGAACCTCCTTCAAGGGGTTCAAGCTGTAAATTCCCATCCTTCTGGTCCTTATCGTGATCAAGAACGAAGATCTCGTGGGTGATTTCTTCAACTGCATATGTACACCGACTGCAGGGAAAGGTAAGATAAAGTCTTGTTAGGCTTGACTTACCAGGAAGTGTTAGGTGTCAGAACATAGTGCGATGTTTTTTTCCTCTTAATTGGGGATTCACAAGAGAATGTTAATATTAAAACGATTTTGTCTAATTTATGTTGACTCATTTTAGTATCATTTGCAGAAGGAAAATGAAATTTCGTGGTATTGATCCACAAAAACCACAAAGTAACCACGACGAAATCATGTGTACTGTTTGGTATTAAGTACATAGATAAAATTATCGTCTTATCTGATCATTTAAGTCGTTTCAGCCACCAATTTCAATCAAGGTAAGTCAAAGCGGCTAACAATACGGAATTATCCTACTACTGTACATCTATTCGTTTTTAAAAATATCAACATATATATAATATCAGTTTGCCATCGAAGTCGGTGTTTTTAGGTTGATGACAAAATTCATTAAAAATGACAAAACATTAAAAATATGTTGTAAAATACAACAACATACACGACCAAACAGACAAACAAAATGAACACTACAGTTTAATGAAAGCAATATCCAAGTGAAACAAAAAAAAGTGGCCTTTCTAGACAGATTCTACAACACATATCTCTTTATCAAGGGAGGTGAAATACATGGCCCTTATAGACATGTAAAGAGAGGTGGCCACCATTAAGACAGGTTTGACTGAAACAACGAAAAACATTTCTACATAAATATATACCTGGTTGATTGCAAGAAAGAGAACGTTCGGAACCGTTCGGGTCCTCCAGGTTTCAGTTCAGACTCGCCCCATTCATCAGACTCACAAGGGCACCTGTCTACACCCATACCGTATACCAACAGCTGGCCATTCTGAGGAAAAGAAACCGCGAGATCAAAGAAAAACATAGTTCAGGGAGACCAATCAGAAAACAATACTTGTTATATATATATATATATATATATATATATATATATATATATTTATTGGAAAACCTGAAATATCCTCACTAAAACTATATCAGGCATTTAAATGGTCAACATATACAGGGGATTCAGGGTAAACATGATATTACAGGAAAATCCAACTTTGATAGCGAACCACATTTAGAGACAATAAAAATAGTAGACGGTAGAAATATTTTAAGAAATCGGACAAAAAAAATATTACAAATTTGTAATCACTGTATGTATGGAATCTGCACATTAACTGAATCGGTAATTTCTCTGTGATGTATTGGCGAACAACTTTCCCATCTGTTGGAACACTAAAAATGACTAAAATTTATATTTTTCAAAAAATTCATCCTATCCATAATACATTTTTAGTAGTGCCCCAAGGAAGAAGGCATTTATATAGGTGAAAACAGTAGTTCATGACATTTTTGTTCACTCAAAACAGGAAAGTTACCCGGAGCTACGTCACGATAATTCAGTGCCAAAACTGCCAATTTGAGATTGGCATACGATTGGAAATCTCATAGTACTAATATTCGAAATTTTCTTTTAGTATTGGTCCGATTTGTATCAAACTTTCACCATTCGGTTTAACCTATTTTTCTGATTTCGTAGAATTTAAAATGATAGCAGGCGTTTGGCTTGCCCTTTTACTAAATGCCTCACAAATTATCTCCATGTGCGGCATTGTATCTATCATGGGATAGATATACCATATATAGGCTACAAGATTATTGTAATGTTTCCAATTAATACATAAAGTTGTTGAGCTAATCAAGACCGAATATTGGTAATTTTACACATTTATAGTGTTGCGATATATGTTGCTGATTTATAAGTAAAACTTACTACAATCTCACAATGGTACGGAGAAGTACATAAGTGTCATACTGGGGACCGAACCGATTACCTTCGACTCTCCAGTCCAGTGTTTAAACCACTCGACTACAACACCTATATACACATGTCCCTACCTGTCTAAGGAAGCTTGTATGGTGCATTCCGCAGGAGACAACCTTGACATTGCCTTGTGATAAGGAACACAACTTGACCGGTAGCTTGACATCTAAGAAAGATGGTAAGAAGATAAGGCAGTATGAATTATCTCAATGGAAAAATGCATATTATACTTCCTAGGCCCCGTGTTACAAAGAGTTGATATTAATCAAAACTTATTTGCGATTGATATCAATCGCAACTATGTACATAAGAGATAGGAGACTGCAAACTTGTGATTAATTGGAGGACTTGTGATTAATTGGAGGACTTGCGATTGATTTGCATCAATCGCAACCCTTTGTAACCGGGCCCTGGTATCAAGCAAGGGTGTATTCGAACGGGGTGGGGGGGGGGGGGGAGGCAGGGGGGGGGGGGGGTGGTTACGTAAAAATCGTGAACCGTTAAAAGAAGATAACATTAATACAAATATGCGATATATAATAGCGTCCATATCCACCACGTAATTAGGTAATCAATGTCCTCACCTTTTACCTAGTTCTACCTTTCCGCTTGTCAGAGATTCGTTGACTTTTTAAAATTTTCTTTTTGCTTTCTTGTTCATTTTTTCATGTTTTTTATTGCTTGTTTGCTTGAGGACGAGTCATGAAGTATTTAAAAAGAAACATGTGATATTAGAAATTACTGTCGCTTACCATCCAACTGCTGTAATCCCAACTGCCCATGCGTATTCTTGCCCCACACGAAGATTGACCCGGTAGTGGAAAGAGCAACGGAGTGAGCGCCGCCAGCGGCAATGTGCTGTAATGGGATTCCCCAGAGGCCTTCGATTTCAATGGGTTTCTCCACGTGGTGCTTTGCTCTCTTCGCGAGCCCCTTGGTCTCCACACCTAGCTGACCATGACGGTTGCAACCCCACGAAAACAGCCGCCCATCTAGCCAAAAATGCAATGAAAACAGTTCCATCTTTATAATACACACACAAACAAACACATACACCAGTACACCCCTAATATTCAAGTTATGCAAGGAAACCCGTATTTGCTAGATTTCACTGTAATACACTATTGAGTGACTTACTGGCTGTTTGCATCTTTGGTACTAGCATACATAAAATGAGCTATAAAGGGTACATGAGCATTTGTCTACATTAATAACCCAATTCTTGTAAAGGCCGAAATTAAACTGATTGAATCTTTGCGCAGCATAAAACGTACGACCATTCGGTACAATGGTCTGAAAAAATCAGACTATTACTTACTGGCTCTATAGCTCCTAAGTCGATTCGACAACTAATAGTCGTAGAGACATTTTCAAGCACCCCTTTTTTAGGGAAGTTCTAAATTAGTATTGTCTTCCAAATGTCGTTGGAATTTAACCTTTTCATTTTTTGGGCCTGCAAATGGGACATAGTTAAGAAAAACACGAATAGTTTGACCAAAAATAAATCACAAATGAAAGCAGTAAATTTACGTTAATATAAAAGGGAGGAAAAGTTCATGTCACGTATGACGCACGCCCCTTAATCTTACTCGTATAATATACAGAATAAAAATAATTGCAAAGCTACAAACAAACTTACGATCTGCTTTAATTTGTAGGTTTTCAGGAAGAGAGAGGGATAGAGAAACAGTAAAATTAATAAGAGTATATTACAACTGGCAAGATGGGGAATGATTACAGAATCATGGAGGCAAAAAATAAATAACATGGTAAAATCTATAAACGACTTAGATATGTTGTTTTAAAAGCTTTGCTCTTTGCTTTCTCATCAAAGGTTTGTAATTGTTTCATAACACGTTTCGAAGTATATGTGTTGAGTAAAGCATTACCGTAAATCAAAGATGCAATCAAAAGGAATCATAGATGACAAGAGAAAAAATGTAAACAGTCAGGCACAAGTTCCAAAAACCGCTAAAAGGCAAATACAGGGAACACTTGACTTGAGTGAATGTAGAGCCCTCATCGTCAAGACATAGCCAAGGGTAAATCTTGTAAATTCAACCTGCTGTTGATAATCATCTTAGTCCTTGAACAAGAAGTTAAAACACAATACGTGTAGCATTCAAATAACAAACATTACACAAAATATATCCCCATTATATTAATTTTCAGAAAAATATTTGTATCAACTATCAACATTCAGATTATGTGCCACATGAATTTTGTTATTCACACACTGCCTTGTATTAAACGTTGAGGGCTCTATATGTGCGCAATTCGCTGTTTTCGAATTATCTGCACATGTCAGCGGTTTTCTGAAGTTGTGTCTGACTGGAAAACAAAGACTAATTACCTAAAGTGAGTGCGAGTGAATGGTCGTCTCCGCATGCAATCTGGATGACGTCAAACTTTGAGAGTTCTTTGATTAATCTAAAAACAAGAGACATGAAGATAAAATAATTAAAGGTTGGATATTTTACCGCCATCGCCACCATTTGTATTTTCAAATGCGCCATCTTTTGATGAAAGCATATACATGTATAGATCGATTTCCGGTTCCTGGCATGCAGTTGGTAATGCATTCTGGGACATCGATGTCCGTTCGGGACATTGTGAGCAGCAGATGGCAGTGTACGTCAATTTGAAGCAGAGCCATCTATACACAGAGTTAGGCCAACCCGGTTCGTTTTGGACACAGTATAGCGACTACTGCTAAGTTGGGCAAGCACGAAACAAAAGAATATACGCCATGCTGTGACTCAGTGAAACTAAGTTTACCAAACTCTGTATTTAGATGGCTCTGATCTAAAATAGTGTTAATAGAATACTCTGACCTGAAGGCCAGTTTAAATGTACACTTTGAACATCGGCTGAAGAAACAAAATATGAAATAATAATTGATAACAGATCATTTTTTGATCTCCAATCATCAGGGTTTGTTTACTTCTGAATCGAGTGTAAATGACAATATATATATATATATATATATATAAAACTTCAAAATTAAACTGTGGGTCGTAGATACATGCAATGAATATGTTGCGAGCGATGTAGGCTGCCAAACTAATTTCCTGATTCATAAGTTAAAATTACTTCAATCTCACAGTGGAACGGAAAATCTATATCATCATTTACACTTTGTTTAAATCTAAAGTAACGTAGTACTATTTAAGTATTCTTCAAACTTACTGACAAAGTTAATAATTTTGATGGGAGCCTATTGTTCTGTGCAAACTTGAACGCGTGGCAAACGAGCGACCAGGTAGAGAGCCAACGAAAGCAACCAAAGTTTTAATATTTTCAGGAAATATCGTCTTTTAATGCATGGGTTACAAAGGGGTCCGATTCCCCCTCCTCTTGTTCCCCCGCCAAACCCGATTCGGCTTATAAATTCAATTCAACTCAATTCAAATTATATTGATTAAAATCCGAACAAATAGGATCAATCTCAATTTCTTTTTTCGTAACATTGGATAACAAATTTCTCAAATATATTGTAACATAGATAATTGAGTGCATAGGCTATATGATTATCAAATTATCTGTATGGCAGGATTTGATTTCAATAACTATTTCAATTTGAATTCCATACCAAGTTCATACCAAGTACACATCGAATATTAAAAGGGGAATGTGCTCCAATTTGTGCCCCCCTCCCATTGGCGGTAATTCCGTATTCCAAAAGGCACATGTTACATACGATACTAATAGTAGTCTTGTATAATTGCTTTACTGGGTAACTTGTTTAGCAAAACATTTATTTTTAGAACATAAGTAATACATTCACAAAAAAGGCAGGTGTATGACAATTTGCATACTTTCTTTCTCTCTCTTTCTCTCTCTCTCTCTCTCTCTCTTTCTCTCATTCTCTCTATCTCTCTCTCTCTCTCTCTCTCTCTTGCTACCCCCCCCCCCCCGACCCCATAGAATCCTTTTATACGGCAGTGAACCTAACCTTGGTTTGAAGTCTTGTGTTGTCTGGCTCTGGTTATCATATCTCTGCTTCTTCTTCCGAATACCAAGCTGCCCGACATTGTTACTACCCCAGCTGTAGACCCGACCATCGGCAGAGAGGGCGAGGAAGTGATGTCGACCACAGCATACGCTCACGATGTCAACACCGGGTTCATCCTCCTCTTCAGATGTCGGGAAGATCACCTCGACTGGTAGTAGAGGAGGTTGACAGAAGGAATATTTAAATTATTTGGTAAATATCAGGCTCTCTGTTTTCAAGTTAAGGCAAATACAGATAGTGGGATAAAATTCCCTTCAAGACAAAACAAAATAAAGAAATATATTAAAAACGGATTAAAAACGGGAGGGGAGGGGGTGCTATCAAAAAGTAAAAAGATAAAGAGGATCGGATTTAAGGCGCAGAGCTGATGACAAACACAACATTTAGTCAGGACTCCGTGGCCCCCTCCCCCCCTCTCTCTCTCTCTCTTATCCCCACCATGCTCATGATATTCAATCATCTGTAATAACTGTTAATTCTTCTTGAGAAAAAACAAACATTCTGCACCACTATCAAACTTGAACCTGATAGGCCTATGTCAGTATGACATATATTATTGATTCACAAGTTGCGAATAGAACAGAGAAATCTTTGCTCTCTATTTCTCTCTCTCTCTCTCTCTCTCTCCCTCTCTCTTTACTTGATTTTTTGAACGACTTTGTGACTTTGTTAATGTGACAATCTGGAGAAGAAAAAACATATTAAACCAATTGCCACCGGGAACCTTTGCTCTTTGCATTAAGCCTATTATTTAGTAATCATCAATTTCTCACCATAATTCTCCTGTTTGCTAACATCTGTCGGGTCACAAGTGTAGACACACCCACTGAAGGTTGTCATGACTACGCGCTCTGGGTTACCGCAGGCATCTTTGATCGGATAACCTTCTAAAGACGTCCTCTTGAGCATCATGATAGCATCACCATCATCCGAATGATCAGCTGAAGCCATTGTCTTGTTTCTAGGAAAGCAAAGTGGTACCATAATTTTAGTAAAAACCCGATAAAAAGGTTTATAAAAAACGTGCGGACGATAGACCACGCATTCAAATTCATTAAAACAAAATTGAAATCCAACATCTATTGCTAGCTCTGCTAGTGTTCCTTGCTCAGCACACAAGACGGCCGCACATAGGGACAGTGCGCAAAATGTTTATAGACCAGTTCTGGTCATGCGATTGCATTGTGAAAGAAACCTTTTGGAATCGATCAGAAAAGGTTGATCATTTAGCATTTATGTATTTGTGTGTACTGCAAGGTTCTGGAATCATCAAAATGATAAGAAATTTGGCCCCGTCTTGGTAAAGTTACAGCCACTGTACACATACAGAAAGATGTATACGGGACTACACTATATCTATTCATGGGTGTCCTCCCACCTCCCTGATCTATCCAGTTTGGATAAATATAATAATTTACCAACTATATCAATTAGAAGGCGGTTTCCCGGCAAAATTTGTATCATCACGTATTAGTCAAAAATATTCTTTCACATGATTGGTAATAAGAGCTTCCATTTCATTTTTTGAGAGGGGGGGGGGGCGCGTTTCCAAAACTGGTCTATACCTTAAATGTGCTTAGGGTTTAACTCTCCTTCACACGGGCACGTGTGACACACCACCTCAAAATTGAGATTGAGCATAGGTTTTCTCCACTTTAGTACAAGTACAAGGTCGATCCGTACATGGACTTTCTTAGTTTATAATTAAGTCCATGCGTGGTAACATGGATAATTAGCCTGTTTTAAAGCGAAGTAACCCACTGCCAACGCTTATGCCACGGATGACTCCACGTCAGGGCCTGACTCTTAAAAAAGAGTTGCGATCGATCCAAATCAATCGCAAGTCCTCCAATCAATAGCAAATGTACAGTCTTCTATATCTGATGTACATAATAGTTGTGATTTATATCAATCGCAAGTGATATCAACTCCTCAAAAGACGAGAATAATAACGTAGAATAATACAGACAAATAACATAGCAATCGTAATTGCAATATATGTTCTATATAGCCTACCTCTTATTCCCGTTCAACTCCTCTCTCTATCTTCCTCTGTGTCTGTATAGATATAACTTTTTGGTTAGCTGTGATCGAGCACTAAGCAAAATCACAAATGAAGCCTTTCGTACATCTGTAGCACTATATATCCAGTGCAGAAACATGATGCTCATACTCTAGATAAACAGGAAGCGGTGATTCCCCTTATGTTTACGTTGCGCAATGATAACATCGCGATCTAAGCAAACGCAGAGCTATTTTGTAATCAACGTTGAATATTAGGCCTACCAACATATACGTTCACTTTACGACACAGATTCGCTCAAAACGGGGAATCCCCGCGTTAACGATGAAATGGCGAACAACAAACAAAGCCAAGCTGCCAGCTACGTGCAACGTAAAACACAATGACAGTGTTTACTTATTGCCTCGTGTAAAGGAGCATGCTACGTACATTTTTTTTATAATACAGAGTAAAATAGAGGTTTATAAACCAGAGTACGTGGCTGAAAACAATTCAGTTGTTTTTCAAAGTGCAGTGGAGTATATTATTCTTTCTCCTCAAAAATAACACCGTTTGATCCCCTGACTCATATTATATTCGAAACGACCAATTTAAGGTTAGCTATCAAGTTAAAAAAAAATAGCGCATTGGGATTCGCAGACAGGGTGTAATTTAGCGATGTAGCCTAATAATTCAGACCCTTTATTCTGGTTGACGCTACCGACTCTGCCGAAATCATTTTATGTATTGTTCCGTGTATTTTAATGATGAAATATTCTTATCATTGTGATTTATGTATTTGTGCTTGGAAAACGTAAAATTATACTCTGGAAAGCTGATATTCGGGCATGCAATATAAGCTAGGCCTATGTGAAGCACAAGGCCTTAGGTTGATTTTTCTAACGGTAGTTATTTTCGAACTGTTGGGGTATGCTACCCCTCCCCCTCTCTCTCTCTCTCTCTTACCCCCCGCACCTACGCATAATGTCGACTCCCTTGAACCATTCTCTATGTACAATGAAGCTTTAACCAGAATAAATGGTCTGAATCTTTAGACTAATAAGTCACATTAACCCTACCTGGGAATCCCAACGTGCTATTTTTCAAATTGATAGGATATCTTGCATCCAGGATGATTCAAATACCATTATCATGGGACGACACCGTATGATATTTGAGGACAACAATTTATTAACCTCCACTGCTTTTTGAAAAATACAACTAATTTTTTTTTAGCTACTCTAGTTGATAAACATGTTATTACTCTGCACTAGATAATGCACGTTTCGTGCGCCTTTTATACAAGAGGAAAACATGTAAAAGCTGTATGGGTGTTTTACGTTTCACGTAGCTGGTATTTTTTATTTGTTTGCCGTGTCATCGGTAATGAGGAACAGGTGCGTACGCAGGGGGGGGGGGGGGGGGGTAAACCCCCCTTGAGTTTTTTGTTTGTATATGTTTTGTGTATGTTTTTTGGCAACCCCCCCCCCCCCCCATTTGATTTTTTTTTTTTTTTTTTTTTTTTTATTACAAAAAAATCAACAAATCATGCCAATGGCTGACCTAAAAAAGGTGACCTTATTCCCCCCCCCCCAATGGCACAAAATGTAAAATTCTCAAATTTCGAGACCCCCCCCCCCCCCCCCAAAAAAAAAGTGTCCTCTTACCTCTTAGTAATATTAGCCCACACCTGGCAGAACAAATTAATACTACAAAAGTTCTTTTGAAAAAATCTGTATTCTTTAACACAACGAACTCAACAGAAACTAGACCTGCAATCGTGGCACAACGATTTGCGTGCAATGACGGGCGATCTGGCACTAACGGTCGTCTATACTAACATAATTATAAACAGTATAATATTGTGTCTAAAATGCGATTAGCTCACAATTTTGTGTGTGAACATATATCATACTTGGTATCATCCGAAAGGGCACTTCATTGCGGTCAGTTTGACACCATTGTCATCTGCGCGCAATGTACTGCACGCAATTAACACGCTATTACGTAATGCATAGTAAATTCATCATTTTTACCGATAACTTTGCGCTGAGGTCATTGACATTTACCGAACTTGGCAGTCAGTTGTCACGTATATTGCTACATGTGTCTGCTAAGTTTCATTGTTGTAGGTATAATGATCGCAATTTCAGAGCATGTTGAAGTTATTTCGCAATTTTCTTGAAAATGGCGAATTTGGAGAGTAATTTTCTCAATTTGGTCAAAGATAGGGTATATAATTTCGTATATGGCTTGAAAGGGGATATCTTCGGGTATCTAAATCCAAAAAAGGGTACGGGTCTGCCAAGCCATAATGAAGATACGGCCACAGAAAGAAAGCCAATTCCCAGAACTTTAGAGGGCGCTATTTATGTTTTGCATAGCCATTGGAGCATGAAATTTGGCATGGCTATGTGCAATTATGAGATAAGGATACGGTGAGATTTAAAAACAAAACGAAATTTGATGATGTTTGAAGGTTTGCATGGTGGTATGAATAATCACGGAAGAGGTTTACGGTACACCATGTGTAAAGTCCTCGAGGGACTGAGGAAAGTGGATAGAAAATAGAAGTGAGATGGAAAGGCGAGAAAGTGGAGGTTGGAAGGAAGAGTATCTTTCGGAAGTGAGTATAGTCCTGAAAAGGACTGTAAACCAGAAAGTTGTAGGAGGGATGAGAGGTTTGTATGGTGGCCCTGAAGGGACATCGCGAATAGACTAAATCGTGAAAAATATGCGATAAAATTCACGATATCGTCAATTTTATCGCATATTTTTCACGAAGAAATTCACGAAATTGACGATATCGTGAACTTTATCGTGAACTTTTCACGATGAAATTGACGATATCGTGAATTTTATCGTGATTCACGATATAAAGTTCACGATATCGTCAATTTTATCGTGTACTCTATCGTGTACTCTATCGTGTACTCTCCTGACGGGCGCCCTAGCTGGGGGAGACAGAGAGAAGGAAAAAAGGGAAAGGGAAAGAGAAGATAAAAGGAAAGAAAGAATAATAAGAAGAAAAGAGGGAAACTGGGGTGGGGGCGAAGGGCTCTTGCCTCCTCGTCACTCCCCCCCCCCCCCCCCTCCCCGCCAAAAAATAAATCAAAGAGAGAGAGAGAAGGGAAAGGGAAAGGGAAAGAGAAGATAAAAGGAAAGAAAGAAGAGGAAGAAGAAGAAAAGAGGAAAACGGGGGAAGGGCGAAGGACTCTTGCCCCCCCCCCCTCCCCCCCCCCGCCAAAAAATAAATCAGAGAGAGAGAGAGAAGGGAAAGGGAAAGGGAAAGAGAAGATAAAAGGAAAGAAAGAAGAGGAAGAAGAAGAAAAGAGGGAAACGGGGGCAAAGGGCTTTTGCCTCGTCCCCCGCCCCCCGCCAAAAAATAAATAAGAGAGAGAGAGAGAAGGAAAGGGAAAGAGAAGAAAGAAAGAGAAAAACGAAAAAGAGGGAGAATAGGAAAGAAAGGAAAAGAAAGAAAAGAAAGAAGGCAAGAGCCCTTCGCCCCTGTTTCCCTCTTTTCTTATTCTTTTTCCTCTTCTTTCTTTCCTTTTATATTTTCTTTCCCTCTCCCTTCTCTTTCCCTTTATGGCGGGAGGGGGGAGGGGGAGGTAAGAGCCTTTCGCCCTTCCCCCGTTTCCCTCTTTCCGTCTTCTTCTTCTTTCTTTCCTTTTATATTTTCTTTCCCTTTCCCTTTCCCTTCTCTCTCTATCTCTCTCTCTCTCTCTCCTATTTATTTGTTGGCGCGGGGGGGGGGGGGAGGAGGCAAGAGCCCCTCTTTTCTTATTCTTCTTCCTTTCCTTTTTTATTCTCTTTCCCTTTCCCTTTCCCTTCTCTCTCTATCTCTTATTTATTTTTTTGGCGGGGGTGGGGAGGGAGGAGGCAAGAGCCCTTCGCCCTTCCCCCGTTTCCCTCTTTCCTTCTTATTCCTCTTCTTTCTTTCCTTTAATATTTCCTTTCCCTTTCCCTTTCCCTTCTCTCTATCTCTCTCTCTCTCTCTCTCCTATTTATTTGTTGGCGCGGGGGGGGGAGGGAGGAGGCAAGAGCCCCTCTTTTCTTCTTATTCTTCTTCCTTTCCTTTTTTATTCTCTTTCCCTTTCCCTTTCCCTTCTCTCTCTATCTCTTATTTATTTTTTTGGCGGGGGTGGGGAGGGAGGAGGCAAGAGCCCTTCGCCCTTCCCCCGTTTCCCTCTTTCCTTCTTATTCCTCTTCTTTCTTTCCTTTTATATTTTCTTTCCCTTTCCCTTCTCTCTCTTATTTAAATTGACGATATCGTGAATTTTATCGCATATTTTTCACGATTTAGTCTATTCGCGATGTCCCTTCAGGGCCACCATAGGTTTGAGTAGTCCGACAGCTGCCTGCCAACCTGCCGAGCCCGCCGGCCCAGTGCTTTCCCCCAAGTCCGCATCCACGCCATAAGAACCGCCGCACGCCTAGCGAACACTCACTCCTGAAGACGGACAGTCAACCTGTCCGAAACGTCGAGTCTACTCTCCTGCTCCTCCTCTGCAACTCTACTCGCCTACTCAACTCTCCAACTCAATCCAGTCTTCTACTCAAACCTCTCATCCCTCCTACAACTTTCTGGTTTACAGTCCTTTTCAGGACTATACTCACTTCCGAAAGATACTCTTCCTTCCAACCTCCACTTTCTCGCCTTTCCATCTCACTTCTATTTTCTATCCACTTTCCTCAGTCCCTCGAGGACTTTACACATGGTGTACCGTAAACCTCTTCCGTGATTAAAACGAAATTTATATGATAAAGTAATGGCAGTTTTAGATTTATACGGGTCAATTTTTCAAGAATTTGAGAGATTTTTGATGGAGTCGGTTTCGGATTTGAATTTTGAGTACGAAGATGGCATTTTGAAGGGCAGGTTATTCGTCGCAGATGAAAGAACATCTTCTAGACTATCTAGAGGAATTCATTAGAAGTTTGTAGGATCTAGAATAGTGGAGAAGGGAAGGAAGAAAGAAAGGCCTAAAAATGGACCAGAAACGGACAAAATGGCGCCTGGATGGTTATGCATGAGTGATTTCGAAAATCGAAAAGGTAGGTGACCTTGATGAGATGCTAGAGACCATGCCTACGACATTTGAACGGAAATGGACATGAGGAAAGCACCTAACTAGGAATAACAAACACTACGTGCAAAACGAATGCGATTTCCTGGGAAGAAGAAGAATATTAATTTGGAAGAACGCGAACGAAAACAAGGCAATGTCGAAGATCGTCATTGCAATAAACAATATTATATAATCACAAGGGCATGCTAGGATTGGCACCACGCTTCTTAAACAAATCTTATACTTCATTCTACCCCCCATTAGTTCGCACACGTATCGATTTCAACAGGAGTATGTCCATATCTTAAATAAAACATTAAATAAGCTATTATCGCCCAATATCTATAATTTGAAGTATATCAACAATTCTTGATTTTTTTTTTCTTTTTTTAACAATAGGTTGCATGATTTTTTTATTAATAACAAATTTTTGAATCCAAACAAATACGGGTTTAGAAAATAACCACTATACAAATTTAGGTCTTGTACAAACAAACGACTGAATTACCAGTGCAATGGCAAATAAGAACAAGTAATACGAATATACGCTCAACCATGCTATATTTATACAAAAACATACGATACATAATTATGGAATTGGAGGGCAAACTCTATCTTGGTTGAAAGACTACTTGTCGAACAGACATCGATATGTTTTATGTGATGATACTGACTCTAGTCTTTTACCGAATAGGTATGGTGTCCCTCAAGGCTTCGCTCTGGGACCACTTCTTTTTCTTTTGTATGTAAACGATATAACGAACGCATCATATGTTATGTCATTACTCCTCTTTGCTATACGACATACATATTCTTTTTTACTCACACAAGAACATTGAAATACAAATGAAAACCTTTGATTTGGAGTTACCAAAAGCGTCCACATAGTTTAAGAGCAATAAGTTACCTCTTAGTATAAACAAAACTCATTTGATACACTTCAACCACCCTAATGCATACAGAACTGCAAATATGACAATTAGCTTTTTGATTGATAACTTACCCTTAGAACAAGAGCGTAACTTTAGGTTTAAGGAGTGATTATTGATGAATGTCTAACGTGGAATGCCGATCTAAATTATATCAACAGATTTGTATCTAAAAGTGTAGAAATTATATTTGTAAAATGATTAAAGAATTCACTAAAACAGTTTCGTTTTTTTACCCATTCAGAAGCTGCAAGCAGTTAACATTTTTTGTAATATCAATATTTTGCAGGTTACAATGTTTATGTTCAAATAATCCAATAGCCTACTTCGTCCGGCATTCCACAACCTGTTTATTCTAAACAACACAATCCACCCTTATCCGACACGAAACACTCAGAACTGTCATTTTTATAAACCCCCAATTGCTAATTGTGCATAAAGATTTCCGACACTATGGCCCTGGCTTATGGAATAGTCTCCAAATGTTAAATCATGTACTACGATAAATTCTGTCATGGCTGCCATGAAGCGTAAATTATTATCAGCTTACAATTCATAATGTAATAAGCACTCGCACAAACACTTACGCATGTACATATATAAAGATTTTTTTTTTAAAGTTTCACAAAAGACATACATTTACAAAATATACACATTTACACATTTAACGCATCTTATATGTTATGCCTGAAGAGACAAAAAATGTACTTCAATTACGTGGCCGTTATGACGACTTTATTTCTGATTATACTATGTGGTATAGGTTTCGTCGCCCATATAGGTTCCTTTCCTGAGGCCGCCATCACGTTCAAGCTCTAGCTTTAGGTGATCTCCTGCTTTTTTCTTTTTCGAAAGGTATTTAATATATTTATATTAGGCCAATACGATTAAATAATTATGTATTTAAAAAAAAAAATTAATAACGTATATGGACTTGGTTTGTATATCAATTTCTATTGTTGACAAATTCAGAAATAAAATCAAAAAGAAAAACAAATTAAAAGAGATTTTATGCAACCGCCCCCTAAAATGGAGAATAATTCATGCACTCTACAATACTACTGATAACATTATATGGCACTACGAAGGGCGTAGATGTGTAGGAGTATTTATAAAAGTGAGGGTAGAAAATTGTAAGAATCAAACTCTCTTGGGGAGTACAAAAGGTCAAATTAAGGAGCAAGAGGAAGAATTAGTAACGAATAAAGATATTCATCAGGTTCACTAAAGTCATGAATATCACATTTGCTAGCCTCATTGGACAAGCCTCCAGTTAACCCATTGCTTACTGGAACCTGGTGGTCCATGTGTAAAGCCATATGGGAATAAGATAATTCAGTAGTCAACGGGTTAACAAATACTAAAACATTTTCTTGTCATAGGAATTCCTATTCTGATTGTACGACATGAGGAAGCAACGTTCTTAAAGGCATAATCAGTAAGGGTATGATTGTGTAGAAAGATAAAAACAGAGAGTACTTATAACTGCAACAGCAATATTCTTGCATTAAATAATATATGTAAATATAAAAGTTAAACTATTAAAATACCAGGTAGTTGTCTATGATCTATTTTCAATTGATAAAAACTCCGAAATCCGGTAATTTTGACACGAAATTCATTATCGTTGATATTAAGCTTTACATTCCCCATAGATATAAAGCGTTTGAAGAATCTTCTGATAGTAACTATAATATAATTATGAAATGAACCGATTGTGCCACCAACCCCTTGTTTTTTTTATTTCGATGTGTCCTTACGCTACTCCATCCGGGGTATGTTTTAAGAACCTTGAAAAGTGTGTAATGATACAGACTTTGTAGCTTCCAAAAGTTCGTGTGAAATTTAGGAAATTTCTCCTTCATATTAGGTATTCTGAGTATAAAGCAATCATTTTTATATAACAAAGATAAGAGTGGAGCTAAGAAACCCTTGAGAAACACTTTATGTATACACAATTGTGTTTGTGTGTGTGCGTGTGTGAGGGATTTGCAAGGACCCTTCATTGTACTTCTTTAGATTTTGGTTTCATCCAGAAAGATAATTTGTATCATGAAACATATTTATCCAAACTGGAAAACACACTTGAATGATTGAAAAGGAATGTATATATTTGCTGACTCCAATCATGCCAAATATTTAATGATTATGAAGCGCTCCGAGGAGACCCTGTAACACCACTTTTATATAAATATCTGCTATTTCATAATAAATAATAGTAACATAATATTACGTTTAAACTGAAGAGGCTGTGAAAATAACTTAAAGAAATAATAGATACATGAATAAAAGAGTATGATAAATGAATGATTAAGTAAATTAGTAAAGAAAGAAAGAAAGACAGCAATTTACTTAAATAAGAAATACATAAATGAATGAGAAAAACGATATATAACTGAATAAATGAATGAATAAAAATACACGAATACAAAATATGATAAAGAAATATCCTATAAACCTAAGCGATATGAAATGGGCAGTCGTAATAGGACAGGGCGACGGTCAAACGATCTTCCATGAGTTCAAGGCTGGTATACATAGGCAGCCTAAGTGTACGGCGGAAGCCATGGTTATCGCAACCATGGCCCTCTGGCATCAGCAGGGTGAGTCTGTCTTCGTTGTCGCACGGTTGCTCGTTCACGGAATCGTCCATGGGTACCTGAAGGGGAACGACACGAAGACCTAGGTTTCCTAGTCCACCCACCGGGACGCGATCAGACCCCGCGACAAATACTGCAACAAGATAAATCATAATAATGATAGTAAGCAAATAACTACCGTTGGTGAAGGTGATGGGACAAACTATCACTTCCGAGGCGATCTGGATGTTGCTATCTTTCCGAAGCGAAGCTGAGGAAAGATAGCGTATACATTCTGATCGACGAGTAAGTGATAGTTTGCCATCGCCTGAAACCAAAAGGTGATTATTTGCTTTATATTCCACATCTAAAAACAATATAACTACAATAAGAAAAGGACGTGTATGCATCTACATGAAAGACACCAGGCCCAAATTCACACCAAAAAGGTTAAAAGTTTAACCCAACCCCTTGAAGGTACGGTGCGCGCACGTGTTTGCTTTAATTGCGCTCATTGGTAATGCGCGCTTAATTACGCCTATTTTAGTGCGCTTTTGGATAATCTTCAGTGAAAGTGCGTTGCCCTTTGTAGATAGTGGGTGGTATTCTCTTAAGTTAAGCCGGGACTAAGTCCAGACTAAACAAGAATTTTAGTTCGCACTTCTATGGAATGCTAGGTTTCATCTTCCTCCTTCAATATTCATGACAAAGATAATCTACCAAGGACTTTGTTGAAATTTAGTGTATACTCATATTATCTTTTTCTTCCTATTTCAGTGCAAAATTAATTTTTTGGACACTTTTCATTGAAGGATTAAAATAATCTGTTCAGAGTAAATTAGTTCACAACAGGCACTCCATAAAAGTGTGAACTAACTAAGCACGCGCTAACTTAGTACGCGCTACCGGAATACCGCCCAGTACCTCTATCTTCAGTAAAAGTGCGTTGCCCTTTATAGATAGTAGTACTACCTACAAAGGGCAACGAACTTTTTGCTTCTCCCATCAATGATGGGCGAACTATCTTTGATCACGTGATTTATTTATGGCCAATCGTAGAGCAGGATTTTTTAGTATGTGGAATATAATTGTTATTATAATCATTTTAATCATAATAAAGATATTTTTAATAATAATGAAAACAAAGATAATAATAATTAAAATAATAATAATAATAATAATAATATAATGATAATGATAATAATAAAAACAATAATTATAACCCTTATGACATCAACATTGCAGTCCAGGATAGCTAGAGACAAAAGGCTTAATAACACAGATATGAGGATAGAGATAAAGAGAATATGGAACGTCAAAGGAGAGGTGAGTCCAATAGGCTAAACCATCTGACACACAGGCATGGTGAAGAAGGGCATTGAAGGTCTCATCGCCAAGATCTTCCCGAATCCATACTCTACGACTTGCATAAGATAGATATATTGAGCACAACGAGACTCATTGGGAAAACACTTGGACAGTAGAACAATAGAGTATAACAGAAAATAAACTAAATAGCACTTAGTGCTTTTTGTTACAGCAAAGTGATTTAAGAAAAAAATAAGGACTTGATCCTGTTTTAGGAATAATTATGATGATGATGATAATCATAATGATAATATCAGTAAATCAATAATCATTATTAATACCGTATCCCTGAAAGCCCTGCAATCGTATTATAACCCCGGCTTAGCATGGCTACCGCGCACGAGCATTCAAGGAATTTCTAATTCCTGCCGGATACCCATTTACTACACCTGGGTGGATCAGAGTGGAAAAAGTAGATTGAGATTTCTCAGTCCAGCGACGAATCCAAAAGACCACCACACCTCTACAGATAATAATAATGATAATAATAATAATCATGTGATGGTGATGATGATGATGATGATAAGATGATGGTGATGGTAATAACAATAATACTAATCAAATTAATCACTATTAATTAGTTTTAACGCTGCTCTTCCTGTGGTCCATTTCATTACCGCTCCCCCCCCCCCCCCAGCGATGCCAGGCACCCATTTACCCGTGAAGTACGGGCAAGTACGGGCAAGCAACTGTTCCAAGGATGCAAGCACAGGAACTGAAATCTAAGCTATAGGAAACCCAAGGAAGGCCGAAGGACCATGAAGCCAAAGATGGCCTCGATCTTCAGTCTCGTGAACCTTGTGACTGGCTAGTTGCTACAAGATTAACGAGACAAAAGTGTTCTCGTAAAAATTCCTGCCGGTGGGCCATATTGGCCACGCGAACCTTATTCTCGTGCATTTTCTGTTATTTGCCTCAGAATGCCACCACAGTCGAGCAAGTGATGAACAAACCGTTTTGACTTCATCAGTAGAATTCTTAGGAGCACTGTTAAATACTGGTAAAGACTGTGATTTCTAATTTGAGAGGTCCCAGGTTATATCCTTGCTCGGTGCTTACATCTTGTTTGGCCCACATTTTGTTCCTCTCAACCCAGGTGTATTGGGGATCTGACAATGATGGGGGTGCTCATAATTGGAGTGCCCATGGAACAAGCAGTATTACCATTGGTGTGGCTATACTGAAAAAAAGACCAAGCTGTCATTATTATAAATCTAGAATCTCGACACTGCCTTCTGTATCCTTTCCATTTAATGGTCGTTATAGATATCATTATTGAATGGGTGGCTAAGCATATAAACAATAGGTAAATCTAACATTTTAGACTTACCAAGAAACTTTCTTTTCATGTCATCGTCTAGAGCATGAAATACCTTCCAGAACATCTTGATGGTTGGGTGGGAATGTTTATACGGCCGTTTATACTGAGTCAACTGATAATAAATCAAATTATAAATCATTAACAAAATAAAATAAGCAGATTTCCCATGTGGTTCATATTTTGTTGAAAGATTTTCATTTACTACTACACAATTGCAGTGTCAAACACAATAAACGTTTTCTGACAAATTCCATTTCTCTAGCAATCAATCAATAACCGGATAAACCAATTGCTCTAACTATTAGATCGATGGCAAGCAAATTTCTTTGCAGTGTCATATAATTTCACAATTTCGATTCGTTACTATAAAAACCAGGATTTAAAAAATAACATGTATGTACCTTTACATTTTGCATTGTTTTGCTTGGAAACTTCTACATTTGAAAAATGTTCATTAAAAGAAATAGGAATGTATAAATTTATACAAACTCCCAAACCCTTTTGTGTCAGAGTAAGGTTCGTTCATACAGCTGTTTACCGCGCCATTTCACGTAAAGAAGTATTGACCTTTTAGTGGAATTTCTGTCACCGTTTCAAAAACTTTCGGCTATTAAATAAAGGGGAAACAAATTCATGTTATTCATGAAGCGTCTCATTATTTTGGGAGTGTTTTTTTCAATAAAATATATTTAAATGTACAATGGTGCAACCCCGTGTTTCAAAGATCTGTTGACATTTGCGGCCATTGATACATTAAACTGGTCTATTATGTATTTTTAGTGTGGTCCATATCTAATAATAATATTCGATTTATATAGCGCCTTTTCCAAATGATACAAGGCTGTCTCTGTCTCTTAGTATATCAGCCATTTAAGAGGAGTTGTAGAAGTATGTTTTCAGTGGTTTTGAAAGAAATCTAGTGAAGTTACCTGCTCAAGGGCTTTCCAATCGAAGTATTTCTCTCCGATGACAAGCGCTTCTAACTCGATAGGTCTAAACATATCAAAGGCCGCGGGATTGAAGACTCTGTTGAATCCTTGCTTGAAGGCTGAAAACTGTGACGGAACCAGGTACTCTCGAACCCTGTTGTCCACGTAGAGATCACTTTGGCACAAAGAAGATAAAATAATAGTTGGAGGATTGAGAATGTCAGAAGGCATTAATTCACTGAGGATTGACGAAAGGGCATGCAAAAGAAGCATGAAGTCGACTGCACATACTGTGGTAAGAAATTCTATATGGTAATTTTCTGGGGGTAATTGTCCTCGGGAGGGGGGGGGGGATATTAGTTGTCCCATGGAGGGTAATTTTCTGGGGGTTATTGTCCGTAGGGGTAGTTTCCCGCTGGTAATTTGCAGAAGGGTGATCGCCCAGGGGGTAATCGTCCAAGAACCTTTGACAAATCTGCCATTTTAACTATATGCCCAGCTTTGGATCAAGCTGCCTTCAGACGTCGCTGGGCCTGTTTTCCTTACACGTTTTCTGTCGTGACCTCGACGCTCCTCCCATCTTCCAGCTTCACCTCATCACCATAGCAACACCCCATCACGTAATCTTCTGTTCCAGTTCGTAATTCGGACATCTGATCTGCGAACTCCTTGTCGAGCTCTGCTGCTTCATCTATATTACTGTTAGGGCTGATAATCAACGTGAAATCTAAATAAGTTCATTTAATTGTAACAAAGCAATTTCTTAAAAGAGACATGAAAAAATGAATACACAACTTAATCTATAAATTAAAAAAGACAAGAAAAACAATAGATAACAAATAAAAAAGATAAAAAAATAGGTAAAATATGAATATAAACTAAACAAATAAATAAAATCATAAATCTATAATATATATGTATATGAAATTATACCCCAACGCTGCCACCAGTTTTAGAGGGTTTCTGACCTTAGACACGGCAGACAATGCTCAATCGTATGCCTCTATAAAGGATGAACTCACATTAGATGTTGAAGGAAAAAGATCTATACAATTTTGAAAATGAAGACGATGTTCTTGTTCTGACTAGGCGATACAAGGAAACCTACACCCAAACATGGAATCACGGCCCCCATATTGCATAAGAGCTGTTGATCTTTTTTTAACTTACAAAACACAAGGCGTTATGATTTGGGCCATTACGGTGGGTTTAATGAAGTACTACTAGTTCAGCAAAACATTATTATTTTTAATATTTTTGTTCATCTTGATATCTTTCGATGTACCGAGGCCCTTAATAGATACAACAAAACATTGAAATATAGATCATTGTGTAGTGTCACTGCAATGATTACATTTTCATGTTTTAGATTTAAATATCATTTGTTTTGAAACATGTGAGGATACGACCAATAAGTGCTTAATCAAATCAAGAATATGTATTGCCTCCGTCACACAGAGAAAGGGCTTTCCCGTTTTTCGTGTATTTGTTGTGTTGTTGTTGATGTTGTGGATGTGGTTGTTGTTGTTGGTGGTGGTGTTTTAACATCAACATACCCCTTTCCTAGAAGCTTGGCGTAGAGCAGTTGTGGAAACGGTAATGGAACTATTGCCTTGTTGTACAATGAAAGCCCAAACAGAAGACCACATATCTCGGCTAGTTCGGAGTCCTCACAGTCCTGTTTTAAATAAGTTTTCAGGAAATGTGGTTTTGGTTTAGTTCATGAAATTGAACGCGTATTGCATTCAGCAAATTGGGTTCAGTTAAAACATTGCATTTTCTGAAATAGAAATGAAGAAGCATTACTACAATACAAACGCACTATGAGTCCTCACAAAAATTCACCCTGCCAAATTATTGAATGATCATAACAACAATACAAGTACAAATCGAATAGCAAGAGTTTTTTCAAGGGTAAAACGCAGCAATAACTCGTCACCCAAAAAATCAAACGCAACTTCATTATCACGGCATTATATTAAAAACTTCTTTTGAGTGCCTTTCAATTGATACTTGATATTCAAAATTCCCAAGGTAGCAAGAAATGTATGCGATACTTTTAGAACTATCAGGTAAAGAGAAATGCCAAGGACATATGCCAAGTGTATTTGGAACATATTTTACCAGACAAAAGAGGTGAACTTTGAATTTCATCTAAAAGTAAATTGTCTATCAAAATACAACATGAGCAATGGCAAATATGGAAATAAACCTATAAACAAATTGCTAGTTTGAAGATGTACACTCAAACTCGCCGATAAATTGTCTTAACAATGCGAGGTCTGATCACAGTGGAAATGCCAAAAAAGATTAATGTACCTTCCGAAACCAAACAGGCGAGTGAGTCTTGTCGAGTTCGTTGACATATCGGAAAAGATCGTTCTTTTCCGGATCGAGAAGTTCCTCAAAGACAAGCCGGAAAAACTCCTGTTTTTGATAGAATAAGAAGGCTTACATATCAATGTTGGAGCAGTGTGGTATGTTTTTATTAAGGTGAAGGTTCTTGACTCTCAAGTGAGATAACGGGTTTGATCCTTTGTTCTTTGTCCTTCCAAACATTTTCTAAATATTGCGTCCCATTTGCAGGCCAATAAAGTTTGAATTCCAACGGCATTTGGAATTTAATACTAATTTAGAACTTCCCTAAAAAGAGGGGGGCTTGAAAATGTCATTTAGTGGAAAAATAACGACTATTACTTGTCGAAAAGGCCGTAGTGCTACGTGCTAAAAAGTGCCAATTTCAGACCATTGTACCGAATGGTCGTACGTTCTGTGCTGGGCGCAGAGATTCAATCAGTTTAATGTTGGCCATTACAAGAAGTGGGTTATTGACAGGGGCGTAAATCCCTGGGGATGGGGGGGCTGCATCCCCCCCCCCCCCCCTGGCTTGAAGTAGGGAGAATGACCTGTACAAACATCCCCCCTGATATTACAAAAAAAGAGAGAAAAAAAGGAAGAAGATGAAGAAGAAGAAAAAATGTGATTGTTTCAATTTCAGCATAATGCATGAGAAATTAGTTATTTCTTTTATATATAACTGTATAGCCTACACGTATACAGTATGTCACTATCATTAAGAATAGTTGCGCGACGTGCGCGAACAAGCACTTCGTAAACTTCAGAATAAATTTTCGTTATTTTGCAAGGTATTATTATAGCCCAGACGTAGAGTGCGCCAGCGCTTAAAAAGTGCAATCATGTACAGTAGATGCCCGGCTCCCCCCCCCCCCACATTTATTTAGGGTACGCGTATGCTCGTTCCTTCCCTTTGAAAGCACCCCCCCCCCCCCCTCCCCACCCTATCTCAGGACTGCCAACATTTCTGAATCCCCTTTCGCCGGCTTTTCGCTGGCTTTTCCTGCCTTGGAGACCCCCCCCCCCCAATCCGGAACACTGCTAAATGTACCACACCCCCCCCCCTCAATTTCAGGTGAGCTCTAGTCGATCGAGAGGGACTGGGGGCCAATACTTTTACTTTTCAAAATGAAATTATCCTGAATGAGCTTTCAAAGCTAGCAGGAATTTCAGGAATTTGATCCCGGGATTTGAACAATTTTTCTATGATATTCAAGATATTTTATAACCTCCTTTTTACATTTCTCAGGAGTCCAAAGAGAGAGAGAAAAAACCCACCCCTTTTTTAAAGAAATTAAGAGTCGAGAATGGTACAACGAATCACATTACAACGAAATTATTTCTCTAATGATTTAATGAAACGTAATAGCTTCCGCGCTTCGCGCGGGAGGGAGGGGGGAGGAAGGGAAAAACTGAATTCAGATGAGGATTAAAAGTCGAGAACGGTACAACGAATCGTCTTCTTTCTCTAAAGATTTAATGAAACGTAATAGCTTCCGCGCTTCGCGCGGGAGGGAGGGGGGGGGGGGAAGGAGAAAACTGAATTCAGATGAGGATTAAAAGTCGAGAACGGTACAACGAATCGTCTTCTTTCTCAAATGATTTAATGAAACGTAAAAGCTTCCGCGCTTCGCGCGGGAGGAGGGAAAAACTGAATTCAGATGAGGATTAAAAGTCGAGAACGGTACAACAAATCGTCTTCTTTCTCTAATGATTTTATGAAACGTAAAAGCTTCAGCGGTTCGCGCGGAAGGGGGGGGGGGGAATTGAATTCAGACGAGGATTATTTTCGAAAACGGTACAACAAATCGTCTTCTTTCTCTAATGATTTTATGAAACGTAAAAGCTTCCGCGCTTCGCGTGGGAGGGGGGGGGGGAACTGAATTCAGACGAGGATTATTTTCGAGAACGGTACAACGAATCGTCTTCTTTCTCTTAAAGTGTTTGTTGTTTGTTCGTTTGTGTGTGTGCGTGTGTGTATGTATGTGCGTTTGTGTGTGCGTGGTGTGTGTGTGTGTGTTGTGTGATTATGCGTGCGCGATCGCGCGCGCTTGCGTAAATTAGTGTTGGCGTGTGCTCGTGCTAGTATGTGATGCCTATCGCCGATCATCCCCCCCCCCCCCCACTCCTCGGTACGGATTTACGCCCCTGGTTATTGATGTAGACAAATGCTCATGTACCCTATACAGCTCATTTTATGTATGTTATAACCAAAAGGAGAAAAAAGCCAGTCAGTCACTCAATAGCGTCTGGCAGTGAAGTCTAGCAAGTAAACGTGTTTCCTTACATGATTTTAATACTAGGACACTGCCGACGTTTAAATTTCACAGATAGGACATATATGACGATTTCATAATTCCTGTATAGTTCTACAGAATTTGATGTTGGTTAAAAAAGGGACATAGTATCTTTAATAAAGGTGTATTAAACATTGGCTATTACAAGGCTAACAATAACCACTTACCATACTCAGAGCCCCCCAGTCAATACCCGTTTCATCCATGAAATTGACCATGAAGGGCTTTTGAAGCTTGGACCTCGGGAAAGTCAGCATCTCGGCTAACTGGTCCCTGACACTCCTCCCGAAGATGTCATCCCGGTTTACATCAATGTTAATATACACGTGATATAGAGGCATCCCGAGGTTAGAACATAATTCCAACACTGGATTTAGACTTATTTCCTGTTCCATGGCATCCTTAAAAAGCAATTGTTGAAAAAAAATGACAACTTTGAAATTAAATATTAGGTAGAACTAACTACTATAACCTTAACAAAATGACAACATATTACACTTATACAGCATCATGTGAATACTTCAATGCCCTTCACAATGTCATCATCATTACGCCTGGTCATTGTATTTCGAGCCCGCATACACACGTGCACCATTTCCACTCCTAGGTAGTTTTCCTACCATTTTGCACGATTCACGCACATTCATGAAAGGCAATGGCGAAAGCAGTTACATTGGCTTTCGGCAACGCTCACAGGTACCCATTATATCCTGGGTAGAGAGTGTCAATAGAGATGAATTTCTTGCCAAACTACGTCATGCCGCCGCAGGGAATCCAACCCTAACCCATGTTATTCAAAGTCTGTTGAGGCAGGGGCAGCGGTGCATCTTTCAGAGTGTGTTTGTGGGGCGGGGGGGGGGGGGGACAACAAAGAGGGGTACCTTCAAGGCGAAACCTCAAAGTGAACAAACCCCATTTTTAAACGTTGGTATATACCCCTTCATCGTCTTTATTGAGCAGGGGGGTCAGACAAGGATGCCCCTTGTCTTTTTTACTTTTCGTTATTGTAGCCGAATTTCTAGCATGTAAGATCCGAAAAAACGAAGGTATAAAAAGCAATTCATATCTTAGGTTCTACATTGTCCAAATTAAAAGTTTCTCAACTCGAAGATGACACAACCATTTTTGTCAAAAGTTCAGAATCATTGATCAATGTTATGGAAGAGGTCAGGAATTTTGGAGCAGTGTCAGGTCCTCAAGTAAATTGGGATAATACTAAAAGTAATGAAATTAAATACAGCTTATGCAGGTGTAGATTGTGGAGAAATGAAATGGAAAATGAATGTTTAAGTTGGGATGAAAAAGAAAAAAATCAAAATAATTCAAATTATATTGAAAAACTGGAAACACAGACCATTAACGTTGTATGGTTAACTGGTTGTTATCAAAGCCTTTAATCGTTACACAAACTGCTCCAAAATTCGTTATCAAATAATTGAATAAAATGATTTTATGCTTTTCTTTGGAGTTCAAAGAGAGAGAGTGAAAAGAAATGTCTGATTAAATAAAACGTTAAATGGTGGTCTTGATATGGTTGACATGGATTCGAAAATAAATTCTTTGTATTTATTTTGGATAAGCAATTCATTGGATCAACAAACTTGCAGATGAAATTCATTATTCAAATATTGGATTGAAAATTGATTGTAATTTTTCCAAATATCTTACAATATCATTTAAATAAGAAAAACATATAACAATTTTGTGTAAACGAAAAAGACTGCCAGAGATTTAACAAAATCTTCTGATTGTATGGTCAGCATTTAAATATATAGACTTACGGTTAAAGTAACATGAATAGAAGAGGACATATTATGGAAAAGTAGTCATATTATTTTTAAAAAATCTACATTATTGTTTTCAAAGTGGTATGTAGGCCTAGCTGGAATTTTTAAAGTAAAACATGTAATTAAAACTGGAAGTTGGAAAGATTCGATTCTGTTTAAAAGTAAATTTGGTATTCACCTATTATTATTAATGAGTTCGAATACGCAAAATGCAAGACATGTTTTCCAACCTATTGGTTAAATAAATTATTTATTCGAACGAAGGTTCAATTAAGTACTAAACAAAACAATTCAAATTTGATAGAAGTAGCTACATGAGAGTTTGTTGATATATTTAGTTACAAGACGAAACATTAAAAGCTTCCGCAACCAATTGCTAAAAGATAAAGGTAATTTACCTTTTTGTTTTAATTGGCAGAAAGTAATCAATTTTAAATGTCAACAAATAGGAAATAATAGGATAAAACAAGTTAATTTTTAAGTATTGCAAAATATCTTCCCATCAAAACATAATCTATGCAGATGGCGTATAATTGACAATGACCAGTGTGATATTTGAAAATAAACATAAACAACTTGTCATGTCTTGTTAAAATTAATAAGGTTCGAGTTTTTTGGAAAATTATTAAACACTTACTTTATATTTACTTTCATGAGCAAATAGATATAAATGAAAAAACATTAGTTATAAGTTTAATTGTATTGAAGAAAAAGAAATCCTTGAGATAAAATTCATGTTAATTTTAGGCCAATACATAATATACATAATGTATATCCAAAATCGCTATCATGGTAAAAGAGTACAATAGTAAAAGTTTGTTTATTAATTTCAAATGATAACTACAACTGTATAGCAAATAAGCAAAGTTTTTTATTGACGAAACTTAAATAAATTATTCAGGAAATGTTAAGGTTATAACCATTTATTTAATTAATTTTGTCGTTTTAATTATGTTTAAAATGTAAATTATGTGAATATATATGGAATATGAGATATGTGAAATAAAACACCTCGGTATTAAGAGGACAAGAAAACAAAAATACCCCTACATCGTCATGATTGTGATTACACTACAAGGGATGATATCAATATTCGTTTCTCTCTTTACATAGTTCAAGATACTGTTTAAGCAACATACTTTGCAGATTGGTGTGATGGTTTGAATATCGATTTCCGACCGAGCGAAGCGAGCGAGCAAAAGTTCAAAGATTCATGAGGTCTCATTGCGAAACATTGCATCTTATAAATGGGACCAAAAACAAACCCTGATGAGTTTTCAGCACAATCTAATGAAGATAGACTGAGAAGTTTGTTTATAAGTAACATAATTATAACGACTATAAATGCGAGCGAGCATGGCAAGCGAGCTCTTGGGAAAGTTCTTGGAAAAAAGGGGGTTCTCAGTCGCTTTAGAATAAGGGATGCATGTTATGGAGAAAGGAAAAGTGGGCACTTATCAGAAGGCAAAAGAACAATTATTAGAAAAGTAAAGGTGCACGTGTCAAAATAAAAAGGGCAATTATCAGATGTGAAAATGGGGCACTACTTGCACCTGAAAAAAGACACCAAAAAAGACAACAAATACCAATACAGCTCCACTTTCAAATAACACAGTGACCGTTAATTAATTAATTAATAATAACAATACACGGGCCGGCGGCTGGTTGTGCGTTTTATAACCAACACGAAAAAGCCCCCCCCCCCCAAAAAAAAAAAAAACAACATTGGTATTGGCTGGATTAAAAGGAATAATGGGCTATCTCGTTTTTTCAACGGCTGGTTCAAAATTATCGAATTTCTGTTGGTCCAACAAATATAAGAAATCATTATTTTATATGGATAGTTCAGCCGTTTCTAAACTAAATTTGATCATACAAAGATGATTTTGTCATTTAAGTTGTATGCTCTTTCAAATTCGACCCTCAGTTTTTCATTATATCAAAACAAAATTATTTTGTGTAGCACACTCTGTACCAAAACTCAACTATACTTTAAAAATACAGACAAAATAAATCAGAGGCTAAGGAATTTGAATGAATTCGGAAAAAAGTACGATTTGGCACTTTGTAAACCTACATGGTGTAGTATTATTGTATTGTTTGTTGACTGATCCCAACTTCTCACAAAGAAATAGAATTATACTTACATCTTGTTTACTTATGTTATGGCATTCAATCATCTCTGTTTTCATCTCCAGATCAATGAGAAATGGATACGACGCCCAGGAGAATTTCTGCAACGGCTATAACCATAAAAAAAAGTACACTACCATTCTTCTTGTTTATAATAACACTGGATTGAACATAAATAATTAATAAATTTACGGTAAATAGCCCACACTGTGGAAAGATTGGTTTTCAATGGGAACGTGTCAAACATTGCAAATAGTACATGCATTAACGTTGCAAATTGGATTGACATAATCTGCACTTCGTTTAAGCAAAACAAATTTTAAAATAATGGCATCACTGTAAAGACGCTCTGTTTTCCTTTCATGTTAGTTTAACCATACATAACAATTATTCAATTGAAAATTTTCGTCATTTATTTATCTTGCATGTTTCAAATACACATAAAAACAAAAATGTATCATAGGCACTTCGAGATCTTTCCTTTATCCTTGCTAGGATACGAGAGTCATTACTCCTGACAGTTCTGTAGTGATATCAACTATTTTAATAATAATAATAATAAGTTACATTTATAAAGCGCTTAATACAATGTTTCTAAGCGCTTAACATACAAGTAATTAGGTACAACGTAAAATAAACATAAAGCAAAAAAATACATAATTCTAATAATAACATTACAGATAATTAAAACTGCCCTATCAATTACTATTACCGGTAAACAAAAAATACTTCAGACTTGCCTTAAAAGACTCTACAGATGGGGATTGACGAATAATAATAGGTAAACTGTTCCATAATTTAGGGGCTGCAATGGCAAAAGTTCGCAAGGGTGGTTCGATGTGATACATGGCGCTTTTTAATTTTCAGATATTCGGTAATCCGAAAGTTCAATTTTTCTTGTTCGATACTACAAAAATTTAATTTTAATAAAAGTACGTAACTATTACCAAAACAAAACTAATAATAATAAATTTGACACACTATGCCGATTGTTTATAATTCTGAAAAGAATACAACCCTATGTCATCAACTTCGGAATTGTGAACTCTTGTATGGCAATTTTTTATAGAGCCTTCGAGGGAAAAAAATGATTCTTCGGCAAAACTAGAACTCCCCCTCCACTGAAAAGAACGATCAGACCGGTATCACTTACTGGAGGTGGATGTTTCCAGACTTTGTCTAAATCTTGGATGTAGAACGTCTGAATGGAAAGGATGTCTTGCTGGAGATTAATCTAATATAGAACAAACAAATACAAAGGATAACACGGAGATAAGGCATATATTTTTGCTGAATGAAATACAGATGTCGATAGATACGCAAAAGTATTGACAAGACATATTAACATATTACTCTGAAAACATTTACACATAATCAAAGTGAATATGATTAATTAGACACCTTAACCGTGTTGAAAATTATCCTCACATCAAGGGTGGTTATGTTGGCGGTCGGGAGTTAAAGATCGCGAATCCATGGCTTCTTTCAAGATCTGACCTTGTGTAGGGCCCGGATATGGGGAGATCTAGAGGAGAATGGTGGCGGGTGGGGGGGGGGGGTATTTTGACCCCTTTACATGTGAAATATTCCCTTCAAAAAGCTAATTAGAGTAGGGTTAGTGTGTATGTGTGTGTGTGGGTGTTTGGGTGGGTGGGTTGGGTTGGGTTTGCTGGTGTGGGTGTATGTGGGTGTGGACCTGTATGCAATTCGTTAAAATTGGTCCAGGGTTGAAGTTCGGAAATCTGTTAGTGTAGGAAATTAATTCAGAGCAATTGTTGCAGGAGCAAGTGTCTAACAGCCGTAAAAAAACTAACAGAACTGGTTCAAATAGTATTAACTTTCTCACCTCATTTAAGTAGCTCAGAACTCTCAGGTTGCTCCGAAAGTTGTCCAGTTCCTTCTCCAATAGTGCTCCGTCATTGAATAGGGTTGTGAGGGACATTCGGTAAGCCGTGATTGTACGCTGAAATGACATCGGTTCGAACTTCCACCATCGAGCTAAGATGAAGCAAGTGGATATAGAATAAAGGTTAGATATGGTGTTGGGTGCATTGCAGGGTTGAAATCAAGGATAACATTGGTGCTTTATGTTAAAATTGCTGTCGGAACTCGTGTCATACAAACCCGCTTAGCAATCTTTATTTACATCGTTTAATTAACCTGATCGCAAAGACTTTCTTGAAATAAACTCTATGGGAATTTAAATACATACTGTATCGCCTATAGAAATTCACGTTCGGATTGGTAATGATGCATTACAATGTTTGCAGATTGCGAAAGGCTTTCGTCAAGCTTTAGCTGTTGAAATTGTCCAAGGACGATTTCCCTTAAAGATGAAGTTGAGTTCTGGTCATGCGATTGCATTGTGAAAGAAACGGTGTGGAATCGACCAGAAAAGGTTGATCATCTAGCATGTAAGAATATGTGTGTATTGCAAGGTTCTGGAATCATCAAAATGATAAGAGATTTGGCCAAGTCTTGGTAAAGTTACAAACACTGTACACAGAAAGATGTATTTGGGACTACACAAACACGTGGCGTAAAAATCCTACCCTGGATTTTTAAGCTGTTACTTGTCATATTTATAATATGAAGGCATTTGAAGAGCCATGCTTTTCAGGGAACATGTATTATCTAATGTTCTTCCACACTTGCATAAGAATGATAACGCTCACAAATTATTTTTCACCTCTTCCCAGAACTCAACCTTCTCTTTAAGTCTTTACGATCATGTTGCCTTTGCTTCGTATTTTCTAAACATCACATGACATGAGGAAATTGTCTACAGAGGTATTTATCAATAAGAAACAACTTTGGAAAACTCGAGTGAAGGCAAATACTTGGAAAACCTCACAGTAAACACAGTGCTCTCATCATGAGTGGCAGTACGCCGTACAAAAGGCATGTTTAAACTCATCCAAAGTCATTTTATAAAATCTTGCTTTGGATATTTATTATTTCATATTTTTTCTGCCATTCCTAAAGAATTTTTACATGATAGATCATTTAGTGATTTTGAAGATAATTAGCCCTAAGCATTAAACAATATATATATATACAACAGGCTGCTTTGCATTTTTGTCCCCGATGCAGGTTACTCGGTTTTCCTAAAGTTGTGTCTGACTGTTTACCAGGTGTTGCCGATTTGGAATTGTTGTATGCGGCCTGCGATGCCGTGTGAAGGAATCCTAACAACCTTTCTGCAGCAGCCAGGGCACGGCGCCCCCAGTGGCGGTGAGGGTTACTGAAGACAGGACATTCCATCAGAATAAATATGAACTGAAGGGCTTCGACGTGGGGTGTCGACTGGGGTATGCTGGTACACAGATCAACAGAGATCACATCGGAGAGCTGTGGAAGATGATAATGTGAAAATTAACTTATTTTGTAGAATTCAATTACCTGTAAAGATATGCATAGTTGTTTTAAAAAAAAATACAATATAACTGATATCTTAACATTTCTGAGTAAGGTGTATTACATTTCAATTCAACCATGTTGTATGTAGTTGTTAATTTGTTAAGTTGTTAATTTGTTGTTACCTTTGGTCGCTTTTAGAAAAGATCTTTTTGATCTTTACAGCAAATCATAATATTTCGACCATCCGACAAGATAATCAAATTATTAAAACATTTAACACAAAAGAACAGAACTGGGAATCGCTGTTTTTGATATCAACTTCCTCTGTTGAGTTTACCCAAAACAATTTGTTTTGAATAGATTTTTCGTATCTCTTCCTAGGAAATGTGTGTTTTCTTGCTGAATAAATACGTTTTCGTTTGATTGATAAATGTTATTCTTTTAAAAACTGCAAGATGTGATCAATATGGAGTTCCGTACAAATGTTATGGCTATAAATCATATTAATATAATGACGAAATCTAACGTGCAATGTAAAACTATTAACATTTTTACCCTTTCAAGGAGTTTGTCGTTCTTACTGATCACTCCGAACGCCCTTCTCGCTGCTTTTAGATCAATGTTAAGACCATTGACTTCGTTAGGTCTAAAAATATGAAGTACAAACGTTAAAACTAGATTAAATCATCGCGAATACTTCTAGGAAATTAACTTAAAGACGATTTTAATGCCTCATCATATCGCCTTTGAAAAACGACGTCCGTATTGTCGCTTATTATACGAGGTAAGGAACAAGTTTAAGGCTTTTAAAGTTGTTTTGGTTGATTTTTTAAAATTCCATGCGACTGTAAATCAGCAGAGAAATTAGAAACCGCTTGGAACATGCTCCACATTATTTGCAGTAAAAAAAAAATATTTTGTACACGATTAGAATACTGCTAACGAAATGGCTACAAAGTGCACTCACCAAGACCGAATACAAACACAATTGATAACGTACTTTTCTATATCGTTGTGGTGAATTATGCAATAGCTTACCTCCTAATGTTCGAAAATAAGAAAACTTTGAACTTAATTGTTTAAGAAGTACAAATGAATACCTAGAAAATGTTAAATATATTATGTAGCCTAACAGTTTTAATTGCAATCTTTATTATAGTATATTTTATTTTCAGAAAATAGACCCTTCAATAAAACTGAAATTAAATTAAGGTAGGGGGTGGAAAGGGTAAGTGGTGTTGTTTATGGGAATATATAGTTGTTGTAATGATGATAATCATTAATATGTACACGCACTGGTTCATGTGTCTTGTTTATATGATTATTAATTTTTTTCCCGATTGTTATTGTGAATAGTCATCGTTATCCTACATGAGATGCATATAGTGTAATTTAAATCTCTCTCCTGGGTTTTATGTCACATCCTTACTATAATATTATATGTACTTTCATGAATAAAAATGAATAAACAATATTGTTTTTAATTGAATAATCAATTTATTGCAGTTATTTAGGGACCCCGATGAAGAACATGTAAACTTTGTCAGATGATCTGAAGCGGGTGATCCATCGATTTCCTTTTTCAGTTTAATATTTCAACCTCCTAGAATATTCCTTGTAGAATATATTAGGTTTTGGTTTCTGTATGTGTTAAGATGTTTGTATTATATATTTTATGATCGTAAATAAAACCAGTCTAAACCAAAACAATTCAAAGACAAACACCGGGTGTGGCGGGTTTTAAAGAACCCAATCTACCTGTGGTAAAGCTTAAATGTAGATGCTAAGACGATATGTATGACCTGTGAAATGATTGTCCTTGGAAAACATCATCTTTACCCTGTTTGGCGGAAGGATGCATTTAGGCAAGCAGGGGATGAGAACACCATGCTTGCATATTGGAATAAGGCGTCCTCTTCAGCGATGTCTCCTTCCACGTCACTTAAACTCTGCAGCAGTTCGGCAGACAGTGTATCGATCTCTCTTCCAGGGGTAATTGATATATGGACATCTTCCCTCTGTGGGTGAAAAATATAAAGGAAGGAATGAATACCCGCTCATATTCAGACTTGAAATGCTATCAAAATCAAAAGACATCATAACCAGCGATTTAGATGATTACTAAATAAAAGTACGTCAGGTAAATTTTAAGTTTGGGACAAAATATAATTATTAACAACTAGCCTTTTATTTGTTATTGATATTCTGTATCATTTTCTATTTTTCAAAAAGTAAATCTTCGACGATTCGTATATTAATTGTACGTGAAACTCATCTCAAACTCTGAAATGTCTTTACAGGCCCCCATAAACATGACCAACTAATCTTCACGTTTTTTGCACCTTCCTCGGTTGTTGATCAGGAAACTACAACGACAAAAGCCACAACATATAACTTGAAGTAAACTTACCATCGGTTCGTCCTGCTCTATGATAAAAATGTTTTCCTGTCCAGCGCACAGTCGGCGCCAGGTTTTTGGAGGCCTTTGATTGTTCTCCTGACCAACACCAGCTTCTCCAGATAAATCTTCCACCGTTTCTCTCGCAGGACAATCATGGTCTTTGGTGGTTGAAATCGCATCCAATGCAGCACAAAGATCAGTAATGCCGTCCTCAATAGGAACAAGGTGTTCAGCACAAAAGGCAGGATCATTCATTAGAGATACACCCACTTGAGTGGTGGGATGTGTTGCAGCATCAGATGAAAGTGTCACAATCCTCTCTTCTGACCAAGAGTTGGACTGAGGGATCTCACTTCCTGACTGTTGGGAGTGGAGTTTAGTTGCTGTTCTATCCATGTCCGTAGGCGCTCTCTCTTTGTCCTTTGTGGATTGACTGTACTGTTCGTCGGAAGACGTACCGTGGGAAAATTGTGCGACAGGCTTAGGTGATGTTTCAACTGAATCTGCGTGGTTCCATGACATGTCCTCTTGGCTGTCAATAAAGGCACACCTAACTCCCGGGTCATCATGAAAAGCATCACAGGAAATACTGACATCATCCTCATCGCAAGTCAAAAAGGAATCATCATCACTGTGCGTGTCGCCGATGCTGCTACTGCAGTCGACAAAATCACCATCTTCATCGCCGTCGTCTTGAAATGCAACAAATCTACAATCGTTTAAGGAATCGTCTCTGCGGGTTCCTTCTTCGAACCTTTCGAAATGTTCGTAGTCCTCTAAGGACGTTGCTGGTTCCCAGACCTTTGGGTCAAAGACGTAACGACCGGGTGGCCAATCAGTGGACGATTCACGTTCAAACACATCAATCATCGAACCTCCTTCAAGGTGTTCAAGCTGTACAATCCCATCCTTTTGGACCTTCTCGTGATCAAGAACGAAGATCCCGTGTGTGAAATCATCAACAGCATATGTACATCGACTGCATGGAACGGTAAGATAGAAGTCTAAGGTGTCGAAATATGTTGCGGTATATTTTTTCTTTGTCATCAGTGGTGGTTTCACAAGAGAATATCATTGAACTATTTTATCTTATTTATGTTGACTTATGTTAGTATTTTTGAAATTGTTTGGAAGTTAAGGGTCTTGATCCACGAAAAAAACACTCTTTGGTAAGCACAAAGACAAAGTTAATCGTTTGCTCATTCTAGTCGTTTCAGCCACTGATTTCAATAAAGGAAATTCTTTATTGTGGACAACAATGTAGAATTAATATAATACTGTTCCATCTACTAGTTCCAAAAGTATCAAAAGATTAATAAAATCAGTTTGTCATCAAAAGCGGTGATATAATGGTAATCTTGTGGAAATAATCAAAACAATTAATACCATAAAAAGCTATAGAGCAAAAAACAACACCAACAAAACAAATTAACGAACACAACAATAAGTAATAACAACAAAATACATAAATGCACACCTGGTTGACTGTAGAAAAGAGAACGTGCGGAACCGTTTGGGTCGTCCAGGTCTCAGTTCAGACTTGCCCCATTCATCAGAGTCACAAGGGCACCTGTCTACACCCCTACCATATACTAACAGCTGGCCATTCTACGGAAAATAAACCGCAAATTCAAAGAAAATTATAGCTCAAGGAGATCGATCACAAAACAATCATTTACTTTTTGGAAGACCTGAAATATCCTCACTTATTCTAGTCTGGTATGTAGTCGAAAATAAGTAGCGTGAGCGCCAAAGTTTGCAAGAGGTGCGTTGGCTGGTCTTTCTACCTGTCTCAGGATTGCTACATCGGCATTTCTTATTGTTAAAGATTCGACGGAGATCTATTATTTGAAGTTCATATTTTGAATATGAAATATTAGCATGGAATGATCTCATATTTTAAGGAGTAACCAAATGTAACGTGTATTAACAGTAAGAAGTAAGGAGTACCTCTCATTTGCGACTAGTTCCACTTATATCAGGAGTAAATCAAAGAGTCATCAGAATCAGGGAGTTGTTCAAGTAAATGCTATACTTTACTCTAAATCTACAATTATCATGACATTGCTGAAAAAATAGTACCCAACAAAGATAAATGACTGCATGAAAGCTCATCCCATTTAGGAAATGATCATTACTGATCACGATACTAGACATTGAATTCGTCACGGCGACGATTTAGGTGATCTGCCGCCTTGATCGAGACATATGTAGAAACTCAATGGGAGATTTGGTCTTGTACAGACTATGCCGTAAATAAAATACAAACTCAATGGGAGATAACACGCACTGTACAAGTAGAAACCATAATGGCAAATTTTGCAGTTTTCATCTTTAATCGGAATTGTAACCACGTTGCTGGTCGTCTTCTGATCAAAGATTGAATCATAATGCATACAACATAGCAATTATGTAGAGTTTCAGCGAATTAAAAAAATAGGTACTTGAAGGAGCGTTGATTATGAGCTAAATTAAGGTCAATGAAAGCTAAAATGATTTCAGAATGATATGAATAGTATCAGCAACACAATGCAAATGAACAAAATTGAATTAATACATTCAGTACGGACGGCACGAGCAAAAAAAGTGTGCATGCGTCCGCTCGCTCAAAGTTTTGAAATGTTCAAAAAGGTCTAAAACGTGTAGAATAATTGGTTTAATAAGCAATTCGCCCAATTTCAAATTTTGACGCGCGTACGGACATCGTTGTAATCAAAATTTTACCCATGACCTTAAAGGTATTGCATATAAAATATCATTAAGAAATGACAATGTATGAATGAAATATGGCCAATATTAGAAATTAACAAAATGGCGTCTTGATGACGTCACGCATCAGTAATAAGAAAAATCTCTTCGTTAGGATCAATTATCATTATGCCACATGACATGAAAGCTTCATGGTCATTTATCATGCCACTCATGAGATATCTACGTAATAAAATTCATACAGAAAAGAAAACCAAAACATAACACGCTTCGCGGATCACCTAATAATAACAGTGATAGTATACTGTGTTTAGATTAAGCTCAATATATTCGTGATGTCCAAATGTGCTTTACAGAAATAATATTACCCCGGTCATTGGATTAAGGATTTCCCACTATCGATGTATGCATGTTCCCCACTATCTATGTAGCAAAAGGTCGCAGTGCTGAGCAAATTACAAGACTTTCGCCTCCGTACAGGTACCCATTGAACACCTGGGTGGGGAGAAGCAATGCAGAAAAATGCCTTGCTTAAAGGGATCGTTTAACAATGTTAAATCTGAGATACACGGCCCTAAGTGTTATCAGTGTCTGTGATATGGTGTGATATTGAAGCCCTAAAAAAATTGCGCTTCAAAATGATCAAGAAGTGCCTCAAAAAAGTAAAAATCTTTCAGTGACCGGTTTTACCATACTCGTTTTCCCCAATAGACTGTAGTGTTATGAAAACCGTCAGGCGAACGGTTTTCAAAATTTGTAATTCCAATCATAAATATCTTGATAATCAGACAGGCGATCGGCTTGTAAAAGTCATGGGGCTCCTGACTGACCTAAAGGTTTATAATTATCATTGCATCATGAGCTAAATCCAGAATTTTGTTTCAGAATCTGAGACAAAGTTACCGGATCCCTTTAAGTGCATAAGTGTCATACTAGTTTTTAATCGATGACCTTCGAATCTCCAGTCCAGTGTTTAAACCACTCGACTGCAACACCTCTGTGCTCTTACCTGTTGAAGGAAGCTTGTATGGTACATTCCGCACGAGACAACCTTGACATTGTCTTGTGATAAGGAACACAACTTGACCGGTAGCTTCACATCTAGAGATGATGGTTGGAAGATAAGACAATAAGACTTACTATAGGTCAATGGAAGAAATAGGATAAAGCAAGTTAATTTTAGAATATTGCATACTATATTTCCATCAAAACATAATTTATGCAATTGGAGTACAGTAGTAAAAGTCTGTTCATTAATTTCAAATTAAAACTACAAGCTACATAGCAAATAAACAAAGTATTTTATTGAAGAAACACAAGGAAAATTTTTAAGAAATGTGAAGGTTATAACTATTTATTTCATTACTTTTGTCTTTTTTTATGTTAAAATGTAAATTTATGTAAATGTACTTGAAATGTGAAATATGTGAAATAAAACACCTCGGTAAGAGGACAAGAAGAAGAAAAGAAGACAAAAAAAGGTCAATGGAAAGATACATATTATACCTCTTGGTGTCAAGCAAGGGTGTATCTAAAAATGGCGGGGGTTAAGGATGGGTTACGTCAAAATCCTGAGCGTTTAAAAAAAAAGTATCAATAGTAAAATACGATATAAAATAGCATGTACATCCATCACGCAATCTGGTTCTAAATACCCTTACGTGCTATCCGGTTTTAGCTTCATGGTTTTCAGAGATTTTTGGACTTTAAAAAGAAAAACCTCTTTCTTACCACTTTTTTATTCCTTTTTTTTTTTCTTCTTCATGTTTGTTTGTTGCTTGCGTGCTTAAACACGTTTCAAGTTTTTAGGGAAAAAAAAGCATTATTAGCAATTACTGTCGCTTACCATCCAACTGCTGTAATCCCAACTGCCCATGCGTGTTACTGCCCCATACAAATATTGACCCGGTAGTGGAAAGAGCAACGGAATGAGCGCCGCCAGCGGCAATGTGTTGTAATGGGATTCCCCAGAGACCTTTGATTTCTATGGGTTTCGCGTGTCCCTTGGTCTTCACACCTAGCTGACCATGACTGTTGGAACCCCATGAAAACAGCCGACGATCTAGCGAAAAGGAAGTGAAAAACAGTTTAATCTTTATGATACACACACACTTAATAATTATGCATGCACACACAGTGTAAAGTCCACTTTAAATCAAGAAAGGGACATATAGTTAGACAAAAACAAAATAACGAAAGATGCAGTACATTGACCTTTATATAATAAAGGGAAGATAAAGTCATTATATATGTATGACGCATGCCCTTTAAACTCGGTTTGATATTTTAAGAGTCTAAATTATCCTTTTAGTACGATTAATCATACACAATACGTGAAACATTCAAATAACAAACATTTTAAATAAATATATCTACAGTATTAATTTCCAGAAAAACATAAGTATCAACATCCGATCCAAATCCGGTTTATTTGTTACTTGGATATCTTTTATACACACACTGCCTTATATTAAACGATGAGGGTCCTATATGTAGTGTGCGTCATTGGTTGTGTTGTTATTGAATAATTTGCATGTCAGCGGTTGTCCGAAGTAACTTATATGTGACTGGAAAAGAAAGACTAATTACCTCGAGTGAGTGCGAGTGAATGGTCGTCTCCGCACGCAATCTGGATGACGTCATAGTTTGAGAGTTCTTCGATCAATCTGAAAACATGCATGTTGTTAAAATAAATAAAGGTAGAATATTTTACCGACATCGCCACCACTGCTGTAACGTTTTTTTTTTCAATTGCGCCATCTTTTGGTGAAGGCAAATAGAACGATTTCTGGTTCCTGTCGCGCAGTTGGTGATGCATTGTGGGACATGGCTGTCCATTTGGGACGATGTGAGCAGCAGATGGCAGTATACATAAATCTGAAATAGTGTGAGTAGAATGTCCTGACTTTAAGACGAATTTAAGTTTACAATTACAATCCTGGATCAGGCAGTGAACCTACCTTGGTTTTAAGTCTTGTGTTGTTTGGCTCCGGTTATGATGTCTCTTTTTCTTTTTCCGAATACCAAGCTGCCCGACATCGTTCCTACCCCAGCTGTAGACCCGACCATCGGCAGAAAGGGCAAGGAAGTGATGTCGACCACAGCATACGCTCACGATGTCAACGCCGGATCCAGCCTCCTCTTCGGATGTCGGAAAGATCATCTCGACTGGCAGAAGAGGAGGTTGACAGAAGGAATATTCAAATGAAATTATTTGGTGAATTTCAGGCTCTCTGTTGCAAATAAAGATAGTAAGGGTATCGACTTCCTTCTACGCAAAAAAAGAAGAACAGATAAATCATTGCTCTCTCTCTCTCTCTACCTCTCTCTCTCTATCTCTCTCTAGCTCTCTTAATGCCTGGATTACATTTGCCCCGGGCGCCGTACGATAAATTAGTCAAAGAATTTTCGTAGACATCGTAGGAGGCTACGGGGTACGATGTTTGTGTTTACATTATCTACGAGCATCGTGCCATATATTGTGTTGGCCCTCGGGGGCAGGCCAGGGCAAATCCGTACAGAGGCTGCTCGGAGATTGTACGGAAATCGTGCAATTTGAATACAGTAGCCGTGCAGTCTCCGCAGCCTCCGTACGGAAATCGTACGGAGCCCGTGCAGCTTCCGTGAAAAGATGACTGCTCAATATCACGGATACTCCACGGGCAGCGAGCAGCAACCTTGCCATAGCTGTGCAATGGCCGTGCGAATTCCCCACGAGTCTACAATCTCTGTACGGTTTTTTTTTGCCCCCATGTTCACCGAAAAATCGTACGTTTGCTGCACAATCAGTGCGAGGCCTACGGGCGATGCCCGTGCGGGGATTGTGCAATACCACCTACGACATGTATACGGGCTACGGGCTTACGATTTTTCAAGTTTGTTTAACTTCTCGCGAAACAAAATCGTAAGGGCTGCGGAGCCCGTGAATCCGTACGAAAATCTCACGGTCGCCTCATGCCTCCGCACAGAGGCCGCACGGAAAAGGGGATACGGGCAGGATACGGGCTCCGTAGACTAATCGCAGGCCAAATGTAATCCAGGCATTATTTGATTTTTTACTGGTTTTGTGAGCTTGTTAATGCCTAGGTTACATATAAACCGGGCCCCGTACGGTTTTCCCTACCCGGCGACGTGCCGTGGATTTAGAGACCGTACGGGAACCGTCCGATTTTTATTTCTACGGCATGTGTGGTCACATATTCTGCGACGCCCGGGAGGTGCCCGGAGAAAATTGGTCGAGTAACATGCAAGGCCCCCGTACGGGTGCCAGCAGGGTGCCGGCCGATTCCGGCCGGGAGCCTAACGAGCCTAACCGATGGCTCCCGGAAGGTGCCCTGCCGGGGCCCGGCCGGGTGCCGTTCGGTGCACTGTACTACAGAGTGAGTCAGAAAAAATGCCCCACATTATAAAAGTTGTATTGTTTGAAATATGATTATTTAATCATTGGTTTCATGATATATCTTGATAGAGTTATCCTCCCAGTACATTTAAGTACCATTTTCATTTGAATTTCTGCATGCATGACTGAATATCAGATAATCTTTACAAGACTGCCAGATCTCACTTGCGCCAAGTTACTTGGTTAGGAATAAAAAACAGTGCATTGAACAAAGACAGTCAGATACGCGCACATGCATACACCCCCCCCCCCCACAAACACACACGCACATACAACACACACAACACCCACGGTGACAATTGTTTCATAATTACCCCTTTTCTGATTGAGCATTGAATTTTTATCAAGATCGCTGAATGTTTAAGCGGCATAACCCTTAAAGTTTTTCCCTTTTGTACACATTCACTACCACCATCATTGTCATCATCTTAATCGTCATCATCATCATCATCATCATCATGAACCACAACATCCGCCAATACACACCAAGAGGACAGCGGCCACTCAACTTTTCGTACGATAAGAAGAATTCCCGACAAAAAGTAACAGTTTGGGTGGGCCTTGTAGGGAATGGAATGCTCATTTGTGTGCGTGTGCATGTGCGTGAGTGTGTGTGTGTGTGGTGTGCGTGTGTGTTTGTGTGTGTTTGTGTGTCTTTGTCTGTCTGGCTAATTGGATAATTGAAGCAAAAAATGACTGTCTTTGTTCAAAACATTATTTTATTCCTCACCTAGCAACTTGGCGCAAGTGAGATCTGGCAGTCTTCTAAAGATTGTCTGATGTTCAGTCATGCATGCAGATATTCAAATGAAAATGGTACCTAAATGTACTGGGAGGATAACTCTATCAAGACATATCAGGAAACTCATGATTATATATTCATACTTCAAACAATACAACTTTTAAAAAGTGGGACATTTTTTCTGACTCACTCTGTATGTGTCCTCTGGTATCCGCACCTCCTGTATTTAAAACTGCGTTGTACAATTCGAGATGCCGCCGTGAGGGACCCGCACGGGCAATATTCATTTTAAATGGCCCCCAGCTGGCAGACGCCTGTTGTTGTGCATATCACCCGGGTCTCTTGAGGGGCCCGTGAGGGCGCCGTATGGTACACGTACGGAACCCTTGAACACCGCAAGGGGCCCGAAAATTGTTTTCATGAGAATTGACCCCCCAAATCATGAGGGGCCGTCCGGGCACCGTCCGGAGCCCGCATGGGACCCGTAAGGTGCCCTACGGGCCTTTTACGGGCTTTCTACGGCCTAACGGACAGCTAAAAACGCCGGGAGAATTGGGAGCAGCCAACTCAGCACCACGGCGCCCGTACGGCTTAAAAAAACTGTCCCGGCGCCAGTAGAAACTTTACGGCAACCGGCCGGATGCCGGCCGAGAATTCCCAAAATGTCTGTTTTTACGTACGGGCCCCAGAGTGTATATGTGAAAGCTCCATTATGAAACAATCTGGATAAAAAAAATATTTAACCCATTGCCTCCAGGAACCCTTTTCTCTTTGCATTAAGCCTATTATTCAGTAATTATCAATTTCTCACCATAATTCTCCTGCTTGCGAACACCTGTCGGGTCACAAGTATAGACACGCCCATTGAAGGTTGTCATGACTACGCACTCAGGGTTACCGCAGACATCTTTGATCGGATAGCCCTCTAAAGATGTCCTCTTGAGCATCATGATAGCATCACCATCATCCGAATGATTAGATGAAGCCATTGTCTTGTTTCTAGGAGAGCAGAGTGGCACCATAAGTTTTCTTAAAACCGAGAAAGGATTAATAAAAAAACCTGCGGACGACAGACCACGCATTACAATTCTTTTTTTTTTTGTTAAAGGTAATACAAAGTTTTGGTATGGGGTCATGAATTTGGTTCAAAGGAACATATTGGAAGCATTTGCGATCCTACAATATGCAGTGATCGTTGTCGCGGTTGGAATCGAGTCTCAAGTTATGAAATTATAAATAATAAACTCTTTATATTGTATAGCTCCCTCTCAAGGTTAAGATATTAATTAAGCTATGAAACAAAGTTTCTTGACTAAAATCGACCGATTAGCTATTCCCGTTCGGAAATTTTATATCACAACTACATATTTTGATATTTTCATGGTCGCAGCTACTATTGTACGGCCGTAGGAACTATTTGAAAATTATCAAAATTTACCGGGAGCACCGGTAAATTGTTATATTCAATTTTTCTCTAAAGCAGAAGTGTTTTTGAGGCTGAATTTTCTAGTGCTTATAATACATCCACAGGGGCATCCAAATATATCAAAATTGTAAAGAATCACTATCCACCCAATTTTCGAAATTTCCCAAAACTTTGTATCACCTTTAATGAAATACTAGCTCTACTAGTGTTCCTTGCTCAGCACCTAAGAGGACAGTACACAGGGACAGTGACATTTCTTACATCTTGTTTTAGAATTATGCTGTACGACATAATAAAGAACAGAATATTCATGAATATTAGTGCTATTTGATGAATTAATCCAAGGGCAAAAAAATAGTAAAGGTGTTATTTGTGTTAACTGTCCGGACACACCGCTTCAATAACCCCCCCCCCCCCCCCCTCTTCCTCTCGATCCCCATCTCCCAGAAAAGGGTTAAAATCACAGGGATAACTTAAAGCGTTAAACTTCAAGGTTTAGATCAGGTAGGTAGTCAACAAAGGAGATCAAGGGGCTGGTTGCTGGTAAGTGCAGACGAAAATTAAACAACCGTAGGATATGAAATACAATATATAGGCCTACGAATGTTCAGCTATAAAATATAAGGAAGGAAAGAAAGTACAGAGCAAACAGTGGGAGGGGACCTCACAAGATACGTGTTAACCCTAATAAGGCCGGGGAGGGGGGGGGGGGCATTATACGGCGCTTTAGCAATTCAAGGAATTAATTCTTGCCAGGTACCCATTTATGTCACCTGGGTTTGTGGCAATGGTAGAACAATATCTTGCCAAAAGACTCTAGAATGCTTTCGCAAACACGACGGAAGCAAAGACGACGGGAGAATTCACTCAACCGAGATCAATATATGCAGTTAGGATTCTTTTTATTGTAATACTGTACTATTATTCTGTACTCTTATCAGGTGAATGAAATAATGGTTAACGGATAAATAACTGAGAAAATTCTGGTTCGCGCATTTGCAGATTGATTGTTTCGCTCGGTTATATACCCTCGTCTTTGCCTTCCGTTGTGTTTGCGAAAGCGCTCTATATATACAGGTTATAAATGAAGACGGGAGCATAGTACAGGACGATGTCGGTTGAGTGAATTCTCCCATCGTCGTTGCTTCCGTCGTCTTTCCGAAAGCGCTTATTAGTGCCGCGGCGGGACTCGACCCGCGGACCTTGTGATCGACATGCAGTCCGGCAACGTATCCACCGTCGACCACGACACCTCTATAAGTAGCCTGTTTAGCGGAGTAACCTGCTGGCAATGCGTCATGCCACATAATGGATGACTATCTCCACGTCAGGTCCCTGTTTTGTAAAGAGTTGATTGCAAGTTGACAGTCTCCTATCTCTCATGAACATAGTTGCGATATACCAAGACGGGGCCCTACAGTAGAATAATACACACAAATAACATAAACATTTAAATTGAAATACCTGTTTTAGCTTACCTCTTATTCTTTTCGACTCCTCTCTCCTTATCTGTTGATTAAACTTTTCGGTCAGAATTGATCGAGTACTGTCAAATCACAAATGAAACCTATCTATCCTGCGTCTGCCTGTAGGCCTACATCCAGTGCAGAAACATGATATTCATACTCGAGATAAGCAAGGACCGGGATTTCTTTACATTTACATTGCGCAATGATAACATCGCGATGTAAGGACACGTACATCTATTTTGCAATCAATGTTAACAAAGTCTGGTTACTAGTTTAGTCTAACAATTCAGACCTTACTCTTGTTGAAGATTCCTCGTTCATAGAGGATGATTCATGCCAGTCGACATTAGCAGTGGCGGTGATCCCGGGGGTGGGGGGGGGGGAGGACACGTCCCCCTCAATTTGTTTAGGGGGAGGGGTATTCCAGATTATAATCTTAGGTCTGGCTGACAAGGAAAGAAAATTCACTATGGTAAGAATATTTCATCAATAAAATGCACAGAACAACACATAAAATGATTTGGACAGATTCGCTATAGCTACCCAAATATGAGTCAGCTAGGATGTTATTGGGAACTTGAAGTACTCTGAATATTATATTGATTGTTATTTTCGAATTATTGGGGTCTGCTATATCGCGATGTACATCAGCACACGCACAGCTATTTTATAGTCAACGTAGAAAGTTACCGAAATATGACCAATTATAGGGTAACGTTGCGGCCAGACGGGGAATCCCCATGACGTCACGACAAACAACACATCTGACAGCCTTCACACGTTCGCCTCGTGTAAAGGCGCAGGAAATGTGTATTTTTCTACTACAGATCAATGCCGGGTATATCAGCGCAACCAGAGTGGCTAAACAAATATCAGTTATTTTTTAAATGCAGTGGAGGCTATTATTTATCTCTTCGAATATCACACTGTTTCGTCCCTTGATAATGATATTTGGAACAACTTGGATGCAGGATATCTAACGTTCAATTCAAGGTTAGCTTTTAGCTAAAAAATAGCGCATTGGGATTCCCAGGCAGGATGTGATTTATTAGTCTAGTAATTCAGGCCCTTTATTTCGGTTGATGCTTCATCGTGTATAGAGAATGCTCATGCCATATAGACCAACAAAATTAGAAAAATCACAACCAATAGAATATTCAGAGTACTTCACAAGTACCCCCAGAACAATATCCTGGCTCATATTTGGGTAGACTATAGCAATCATTTTATTAATTGCTATGTGTATAATATTGACAAGATATCCTTACCATTGTGATTTAAGTTGTTTTCTTGCTTTCCAGACGTGAAATTATCATCTGGAAAGTTGATATTCGGGCATACAATAGAATTAGTGATTGTTATATATTATCGATACAATAGGGTATTTAAATTACCCTGAATTTTCTTATTCTTCATTGATGCACATTAAATTCTCTGATTATCATTAAAAATCCATTCATCAGAAGTGACGTTGACATGATCGCAAATTAAGTCGGGGGGGGGGGGGGGGTATTCAGATTTGATTTGGACAGGGGTGTGCCGCTCAAGCCATGCGCGTAGCCAGGGAAGGGGGCGGTGGGGGGGGTGGTCACCCCAAGACAAACGCCGTCCAAAAGAGAGAGAGAGAGAGAGAGAGAGAGAGAGAGAGAAGAGAAAAAAAAGTAGGATGACGTAGGGAGAAAAGGAGCAGACAAAAAAACATTTTTGGAAATTCAGACAAGGATTAAGAGGCGAGAACGGTGCAACGAATCGTCTTCTTTCTCTAATTATTTAATGAAGCGTCAAGCGGGGGGGGGGGGGGGGGGGTAAGAATACACATATTTGTTCGGGTCTCCAAATTTGAAAATTTGACATTTTGCTCCTTTTGGGGGGGGGGGGTAAGGTCAACTTTTTTAGGTCAGCCATTGGTATAATTATTTTATTATTTTTTTTTTCAATTTAAATATACACATAAAAAATACCAAGGGGGGGGGGGGTCAACCCTCTATAGCATCTGGCATTATGTCTGGCACAATTTGGCTGTTTGAGGCTAAATTCTGACATAATTTGAATACATTTTTCAGCATATTTCCTTAAAAATTGGACCCCCCCCCCCCCCCCACCCCGGCTTATTCAGCGGCTAGGCGAGTCGGCGCAAAATAGTTCCTCAAAAAATTCGGTGTTTTGGGGGTTTGGTATAATTTTTGGCGATAATTTTCGCTGCTATCCTACCATAATCGTCTTTTTTCACTGACAACGCTGCTACCGCCCCCTAAAATAAAATTCTAGCTAGGCGCTTGACTGAATCCTCGAAACCCCTACCCATTTTTCAGAGGCATTATGGGGGATTTTTTCTCGAAGTAAAGCACAATTTTCATAATTTTGAAAAAAACGGCCCATGTTTATGGATATTTTTGTTAAAAATGGACCCATGTTTAGAGATTTTTCGTAAAAAAGTGACGCATTACAAGGCCATTAGAGCGGCACACCGTCCGCTAAGCGCTAGGGTCTATAAAACTACACTACTAATATTTTACTTTCTGCTGGTGTGCGCAAATGCAAACAAACGTAAACACGTAGCTAGTGTGGTGGAGCTGGAGGCAACCTTTGATACTGGCACGTCAACTCACCAAAGTCAAAGAACCCGTGTCGAGAAAATAAATCCAGTTAGTTTTGACTGGTTTGACGACTTCTGCATCAAGAGAGGTTTATATTTAACCTAAAATTTAAATTCTCAGGGCACATTCCACGAGTTTTCACGCCAGAATCTGACACAAACTTATTGGGGCCGAGGACGAGGTGCATCTAATTTCTAAGCGGCCGGTGCCGGGCAAATACTACACGTCAAACCCGGTAAGTCAGCTCAGCTCAGATCAGCTCAGCTCAGGCAACACAATGCAGCAGTGCCAGTGGTGGTGCATGTGCATGGCGGTAGTAGCTGCATTACTATCCTGACTGTGTATGTGTATTAAAAGATGTGCTATTCTCATCATTTCAAACACCATTGTGCAAAACTGAACTGATTTCACAAGAAATTGGTACCTTAGTGACAATATTGATGACACCTTATCTAAAGAGCAGTAAAATCCATTTTTTTTTTCAACTAGGGTCTAGACTATCGATGTTATTAAAGAATAATTCAAAAATTCAAATTGTAAGTCTAGAAAATCTACTGTTAAACTTGCACATCAGCCACATCATCTTCATTGTTTGCATTAGTGTGCAATAAGTGTATTGACTATTCATGTGTGCAATTGCTGCCTCAGCACGTACAGTAGTACAGTGCTAGAGGTCAATATGCATTAGCATTGATAGATGATGACGTGGATCCTAATCAAATGATTGGTTGAAAGCATACACATGACTAGACCAAAAGCTTCAGTCTATCGTTGGTTGTTCCACTGAGACTACGTCTGGCTCCACTAGACCTCCGATTACAGAATGTCAACAAATGTCAGTTTTATGAAAGAAATGAACCATATCAGACGGTTATTTCTGTCTAAAACATGACCAGGTATTTATTTTGCCTAATCCGTAATCGCGCGTAATTTGGGTAATGGCCGGTAATTATCAAAATCATGTTAGGAAACATCATTTTATAAAACAAATAAAACATAATCTTATAAAACAAATAATACACATCATTTTGTTTGGGCATTAGTAAAATTACCCACACTTGGTACCTTCAAAACAGTCCAAACGCCTGAGGCGATATAGACTGTTCCAAAGGTACCTCGTTTGGGTAATTCTTACTATTGCCCTCACTGACGTGTATTATTTTATACTCTCTATGCTTCGCTGGAGTTTGGTGGTAGACCAACAAAATCTGTCTATTTTATTTATACACATGTATAATGTTTTGCCCAATCTCATAATATTAAAAAACTCCTCCAAACAGACAGATTTGTTTGTCTGTGTACAGTTGAGGTAGGATAGGCTGTAGAGACTGAGTGTAGGGCTGATGTTTGCACTTTGCAGTCTTTTGACTGTTTTATTATTGATTTATCATATATCGATCATATAAAATCTCTTCAATTAGTCCAATCATTAAAACATACACGTACAGTGTACAAATTTATACAGAAATAATCGTCTGGTAAGGGAAAAGTTCAACAGACGCTATTTAAAAAACATGAATCGATGTTCCCAATTTTGATGGCATTCGGTTACATACATGTACTTTGATCCACTGATGAGACTGAAAATTCAGTCTATTTTCTATAATATGACTTTGAGATTTGTTCCGCTGAGACTTTACGTCTAGCATCACCAAATCCCTTGTCAAAAGAGAAAGTAAGTTTTTTTAAACTTCACCAAGCAGACACTAGGCACTGATGTACTTTGGTAATATATTTATTTAAAATTATCTATATTTTCCCAGTGTATTTTCCACTCCGTACCCAGGGGAGAGTAGGATGTCAAAAGCCATTGTGAATGCATGAAATTAGCATTTTGTATGGCCTCATTGCGGCCGTATGGTTGGTAGAAAGCTAGGAATGCAGTGGAGATGATGCATAATGTGTGCGAGTATGACCATGAAGGCTGTAGGGCATAACATGCATAAAATGCACTATAAAGCGCAGTTTATAGTTCCAGATGAACATGTTATTGTCATCATTTAGGTACAACTTCAGAAAAACCGAGTGCCGGTACAGGCAAATACAAAACAACAAATAACACACAGTCAATAAAGTGTTGTTATTCTTCCATTTGTGGCAGTGTGTACAAAAGCCAAAAGGCATTAAGAATATACTGCAAAGTCAACAAGCTGTAGATATATAATATTTAAATACCGGTAATGATTTTGTTGATGTATTTCATATGTTTGCGTTTTGGATGGTGGATTTTGAAGATAATTGATCCACGGCATTACTTTACACAAAACATGTCGAACAAAAGCAGGTTGACTATGCATGACATTGACCATGCCTTTTGTACACAGTGCCATGCATTGAACAATTAGGGCATTATGTTTGCTTTTCAATTTTTGCTGTTTGCCAATCCAAGTGCATGTACATACATGTATTTGCCTGTACTCAGTTTTCCGAGGTCATAATTCACACAAAAGTATCAGAATTTTTCAAGTAATTACTATTAACTACTGTTTGATTTTGTTTAATTTTCCATCAGGGAAGGTGTACATTCCTTTGGTGATCTAGCGGTTTGAAGAAAGAAAGAAAGTACAGGAAAGATGTCGTCCTGGACAGGACTCCAATCTGTTCGAGATTGTCAGACCCAGACCTTTAGTCAGGATGAGCTAGAGCTGGCATCGATGCAGGCAGCAGAGAACGCGAAGAATCACCAGAGAGAACCAGAGGCATCCGTGTCAAGAGACGAGAAAGGAGGGAAAGAAGATCAGCCCTTGCTGTATGGCACCGATACAAACCAAGGCAGGCAGGAGGATGAGAAGCCACTGAATGGCACATCAGCACAACCTCCTTGTGGAAGAGGTACAGGAGCAGATCATGGCGGAGATTCAGGGACAGATCGAGGGGCAGGGGGAAATCCTGGCAAAGGTCCAAATGCTCCTAAAGATCCGAATGCTAAAGCCAAGAAAGTCGCCAAGTATGTTATTGGGTTTACCGCAACAGCAGCTGCCATCGGTATTGGAGCTTTCATAGCAGCACCTTTCGTACTAGTAGGTATGGGCTTTACTACAGCTGGCATTGCATCCGGCTCTATAGGTGCTGGCATGATGTCAGCATCGGCCATTGCAAGCGGAGGTGGAGTCGCTGCAGGGAGTGCTGTGGCTGTACTGCAATCTGTTGGAGCAGCAGGCGGATTAGCCGCTACTGCTTGTGCTGGCTTAGGTATTGGGGGTGCAGCAGCTATCACTGGTCTGGTTGCAGCAGGAGAGGTGACGGTGGGCGCAGTGAGATACATTAAAAAACAGAAGAACAGATGCCCAACTGAGGATGCAGCTACCCAGACAGATCCCAAACTGCCTGATCGGTCTTTTTCTAACTTAGGATATCAAAGACTTTTGGAAAAGCAACTTGAGGGTAATGTCAGTACCCCTGTTGTATTCCATCCATTTCAATAAGTTTAAATGATGAAAAGAGATTACGCATAAGAATTGATAATAAGTTTAAGATTTTTATTAGGAACAGATAGATCAGGGGCTAAAGAAAAGAAAATTACAGGCAATACACCTAGTGATACATATTTTTTGTTAGGTAATTACTAGTTAATTACTACACTTTAATAAATATATTGTTGCCATGCTACGGATCCACCAATGGCCACGAATACACACAAAATCTATTGTTGGAATTTGACAGGTACTGCTATTCAGTGCATGTTATTAATTACCTGAGTCATCACGGGTTTTGCCGAACCCGGGTTTGACTTGAAAATTTCGGGCGGGGACCGGGTACCCGAAATTTTCACCACTGCACTGACACTAAAAATCGTGTGCATGCAGCGGCGGGAGTTAGACTAAGTTGCTGTTCTAATAATGCGACGGAAAAGACAGTTACTGCTTTCAAAACAATAAAATAATCAATGGAATTAAATTAAGATGCTTTAAAAAATAAATGGATATCGTTTCAGTTGACGGTAGGTGTTTTTATCGCTCTAAAATTGAGGCTGCAAGAAAGGAATCACGCTTCGTGGTACCGATCGGGTGCGTTCAGAAACGGAAGTGGAAATAAATCTATGACCCACTGAAGACAGAGCAAGAAAATGCCACACACAAGACTAAAATGTTGATCAGACTATTGCAATTAAATCGTAATACTAAAGGCATTAATTTAATTGTCAAAATATATCCACAACATAATGGTTTACCCTTGATAGTTTGATGAAGGAAAATAAATTAAAGCTCTTGAAATAACATCGAAGTGCCTTTCGTTCGTTCTAAAAATGCCTGTATAACGGCAAGCAGAAGTTACAAGTCAAGCTTGATATGCACGTTTACATCCCTACACCGTCATCCGACCTGATCGGAACAATAAGCATTAAACCAATTAAAAAACATTACGGAAGACTTTAAGGGACTCCAATTCAACAAAATTACCGTAAAATAATTATTTGCTTTGACAAATAATACTATAGATATTCATAATATCTTACAGAAATAATGATATTGCATGAGCTACGTACTCGATATCGAGTTCAGCTAGCCATCATTTTGAAATGAGACGTAGTTGTCATGCAGTAGACTGTAGAGGGCAGTATGCAGAAGAGAGAGGAAAAAGCGCGGGCCTGAGATCACGTGATATTCACGTGACTATTACGTGATTTTTTTTTCCCTCTCTAGCTGCGAGCTGCCGCATTCTGCGCTGCATGCATGACAACTACGTCTCATTTCAAAATGATGGCTAGCTGAACTCGATATCGAGTACGTAGCTCATGAAATATCATTATTTCTGTAAGATATTATGAATATCTATAGTATTATTTGTCAAAGCAAATAATTATTTTACGGTAATTTTGTTGAATTGGAGTCCCTTAAAGTCTTACGTGATGTTTTTTAATTGGTTTAATGCTTATTGTTCCGATCAGGTCGGATGACGGTGTAGGGATTTAAACGTGCATATCAAGCTCGACTCGTAACTTCTGCTTGCCGTTATACACGCATTTTTTTAGAACGAACGAAAGGCACTTCGATGTTATTTCAAGAGCTCTAATTTATTTTCCTTCATCAAACTATCAAGGATAAACCATTATGTTGTGGATATATTTTGACAATTAAATTAATGCCTTTAGTATTACGATTTAATTGCAATAGTCTGATCAATATTTTAGTCTTGTGTGTGGCATTTTCTTGCTCTGTCTTCAGTGGGTCATAGATCTATTTCCACTTCCGTTTCTGAACGCACTCGATCGGTACCACGAAGCGTGATTCCTTTCTTGCAGCCTCAATTTTAGAGCGATAAAAACACCTACCGTCAACTGAAACAATATCCATTTATTTCTAAAGCATATTTATTTGATTATATTGAAATATAAGTTTGTGAATTCCATTTTTAGTTCTATATTTCAAAATATCAGTGTGAAATTTAATTTTGAAAAACCCGAAACCCGAAAACCAAAAACCGGGTTTCAGCTCGACGGTCGGGGCCCGGGCGGGGACCCGTTTCGACTCAGGCCTATAATAATTACGTAGGCAAAAACCCTCATCAGTCGTGTGTAACAGTGTCTGCTCTATGAGACAATTGGCTCTGTACTGTAGATACTCCAGACACAGTCAGTCCTGACTCTTGACGTATCTACATGTAGGCTCCGCTCTAGACTTTAGGAATTGTGACAAAGTTTCAAATGAGAGTCTATGCTTTCGGACTATGTTCATGTAGGGGAACCAGGTTATTTCCAATATTAATTTCCAGTATCTCTGTATAGGTGCTCTTATACAGTATTATGTGTAGCTCAGAAAAAAAATGATGACAAATTTATAATATGTAATGCACAGTGTCAGTGAAGAGATTGCGGTCATTTTAACTATGGTCAAATATTTGTCTCGTATTTTAAACCCATCTAAAACGGCTTTTAAAAAGCAATCCTTTTCAAGGAATACATTGCTAGGATTTTCTTCCAAACTGACAATGAAAAAAAAAGCTAAAGCCTCAAAAATTTGTTCTTATTATAAATTAATTGACACAATGCAAAAGGCCCCCTAAGGCCCCCTCCATTTTCCTAAATTAGCCTAGAAGTCGATCCTGTTTTTCTCATGAAGATGTTTTTTCTAATATACTACTATATCATGTAATGTCTGGTGTGTTTTGCTGTTTCATTTCTGTACATCAGATTTTAATTGATTTGTTTTATTTAAAATTGAAAACAGATAGGCTTTTGAAGAGCGATTCTTTTCAGGAACACATTACCAGGATTTTCTTTCAAACTAACAATAAAAGAAGAGGCTGAAAGCTCACAAAATATCTGTTATTAAAAATTATTATGAATAAATTTACCAAATTAACATTGTGTGTTATAATTGTTTGGCAATATACATATACTATCGTTCATATTTTTCAGATCGGATGTCTTGTCTACTTGTGTTTTGTTGTTGTTTAATATGCACGCAGCGCAATTATCCATCTATTTGTACATAAGAAATTATTCTATTGACAGATAAAGAACTGCTTGGCTTGATTTAACAACTATTTTAGGCACATTTAAAACTTCTTTAGGCCACAAAGTTTATTAATCTTCGGATATTCTCTAAATGCTAAATGCCTTGGGTTTTTACCCAACATAGTGTCTGTTTTATTTGGTTAGTTAAAATACCAATATGAAATATATATATACACTGTATATATATATATATTTTATATTGGTATTTTTATTGGTATTTTTATAAATGTTAATACTGTTGCTGCTTTTCGGGTGCTTAGAAGTGCATGACGGTTGAATCCCCTTGTTGTCCGGGGCAAGTCCCAGGGCAAGTCTCGGGTTCAACTCCAGACAGGTACCCATATATACCACAACAATTTGATTCTACATTATTTAATTGAACCTTCCTGCCTTTCATTACGCACGAAAAGCAGCAACAGTATTAAAACAACCCAATCAAGTTTTACTTGTGACTATGACTGGTGTGCTTTTGATTAATTTCCCTTCATCTCCACGTCTATCAAGCGCATAGTTAACATATGTAAGCATGAATATGTATAAGGTTCCTAACATTGTTGGTTACTTGTAGTTAAAGTGTAATACCATTTCCCAAATATTCCATAAAAAAAAATTGAAGATTATTGTATATTGTGAAATCTTGTTTGATTTGCTTTTATAGTTATATTAATAAAACACGAATTTGAAATTAAATTGATTTTTTTCTTCAAATACGGTGTGTGATTTCAAGAGAAATGTGAAAGGGATCGACAACGGGGGTTGGCCTTGTTGCATTAAACCAACTTGTCACTGATAGTAACTTTGTCATCAATATTAACTACCATGGCAACATCACTATAAAGTTTCCATGGAAGTTACCATCAATGGCAAAGTCACTATCAATGGTATTAAGTTTGATGCAACGGGGCACAGGAGGGGTATAAAGAAAGAGGAAGGTGGCTATGCAGGCAGACATACATAGGGAGAGTGTGACAGCAAAGAGGGGAATGCATGACAGAAAAAAAGAGTAGCGTAATATAAGATGGAGAGTGTGATAGAGTAGTGAATATAAACGGGGAATTATATCAGACGGGTATTACAAAGGAGAGCAGAGTGGCCATGAGGCTGAGGAAAGAAAATAGGGATGGAGAAAAAGAAAAGGAGGGAGGAGAGAATGCAAGGAAAGGGGGAGAAAGAAATAGGGGGCAGTTTATGAACAAGCGAACAGAAAAGAGACAAAATAAGACTCCCCCGGCACCCATTTTTGTCAAGTGCCTAGTGACATACTATTAGATACACCTAGCTGTTAGCTGTTGACTGGTATTTCAATATATAGTCAGAGTGCACATTGCATTAACTGGGCGTTGTGGCGTGTGCCTGTAATCAACCTAACAATGGAAGTTACAAACTGATTCAGCCGAGGACGTAGGTTCGAAACTGAGTCACTTCCCCGCCGGCATTTTTTTAAAAATCCTAACCTAGCCATCCTAAAGCCGCATTTGATTGGCTCAATAGGAACATATCCGTCATGCGCTAGTCATAAATATTCATGATACGCACGCACATAGAATCTGATGCAACATACTGGTTAAAGCTATGGTCACAAATCAGAGCAGCGACCGACCGATCAGTAGCCTGCTCGGTCGCTGCTGGAATTAGGCATCGCCCAGCGATTACGTCGGTGCCCGGTCAGCGACCGCCCAGGCACCGAGCGTATTTTGGGCGGCGACTGAAAAGTGAGCAGGCGCCGCCCAAATTTTAACTCCGCGCTAAAACTTCAGCGGCGACCGAGCGATGCCCTAAAAACGAGCGGTGCCTGGGCGGCCGCCGCTCGGTGGCCGGGCAGCCGCCGGGCAGAATTGGTTAAAAAACTCGCCGCTCGGCCGCCGACCAGGCTACTTTTGGGTTATGTGACCATAGCATAAGTCCAGAATCCGGCCGATTTGATTTTGATCTCGACGTACTGCACCGTACCAACGAAAATATTCATGTGATCAAATATTAATATACAGCGCTATAATGGCTAGGTTTGGGGGGGGGGGGGGGGAAGACGCGTCCCGGTCGCGAATTTTTTTTTCCCAAACAGGTTTACCTATGAGAGTAAAATCCTGCCTCCTGATTGGTTCAGAGGTATACGCATCATGAATATTCATGACTGAGCTGAAAGATACTAGTAGTATTACGCATGCGCGTGACACAAGGCGAAGCTGCTCATGCAGCTCATCGAAATCCAAGTTTGAGTTCGTTGATGCAGCGCAGCTATAGTACGTAGGCTATACACTGCATGCATGGAAAAGCTTGTCTAGAGCCTGTATATATTACTCTATGTCCTTTGTTTTCTTTGACCAGGTTCATCTGTCACAAAGGAACCAGAACCACTGATATGTTTGTTTGTTTTGTTTTATTTCCACTTTTTCATATCAATACAAAGAAACATACAAATAAATATAATGAATAACATGTAAGTTTGACAAAATTTGTTTCTAGTTAAAATAAAAGTTTCATACAAAAGGAAAAAGCAGGAGACCACATGTCGTAAGCGTAAATGCTTGAACATGACCGTGGCCTCTGCCGAGTTAACAAAATAAAAGAACAACCCATGCAACTGCATTGTATTCAATGTTAAATAAGATATAAGTGAAGTGATTAAAAGTGAGCAAGGCTGAATTAATTTTGAGTGAAAATAACAAAACAAATTTAGTGAAATATTTCGTGTTGAGAAGTGCATTTGTGCAAGGTGCAAAAATTAGCTTGGTGGAACAAAAAAGAGACTAATACCGTGATATTAATTGTGTGTTGGTTTCAGTTACGGGTGATAATATTAAATGTTTGTCAAGATATCATGCTCAGAGCAACACAGTGGCTTTGACCCACATCCAACCATCTCATGTCGGACCATCCTGATAAGATAATTCATACCCCTTGTGTGTGTCTATTGTGTATTCTTGACAGCTAGTGTGTGCATTTGTTGCTTATGTGTTTGTAAATACATGAGGGTGGGTGCAGGTCTGTGTTTATAGAGAGAGAGAGAGAGAGAGAGAGAAAGATAGTGTTTGTATGTATAGCCTATGTGTGAAATTGGAATATTAGTGTGTGTACTGTAAGTGAACTCTTTGAGAAAAAAAATCCGCAGTGTAAAACTATATAAACCAAGCACCAGAATAACCAGAAATGTTCACAAACAAACAGACCCCCCCCCCCCCCTTCCCCCAATAAAAATCCCCTCGCACCACAGCTAGCTCACATACATTTTGTTGTACACCTAAATGGCCAGCAAAACTGAAGTCCACGCGCATGCGTAATACATATACTAGGTACTGCAGCTCAGCCACAGTGCTGTGAACTCAGCTCGTGAATATTCATGACGCGTATACCTCTGAACCAATCAGGAGGCAGGATTTTACTCTCATAGGTAAACCTGTTTGGGAAAAAAAAATTCGCGTCCCGGTCACGTCTTTCGGTTGGTGACGTTTAAAGGTCGGTGCCAAGACGTGAACAGTCATATCTGATTGATACACATTTGTAAAAGCCCAATATACTCACACGCATACATTACGCAGTGGCGGATTCAGGGGGGGGGGGGGGGGCGAAACGTCCGCCGCCTTTATCTAATAAAAATGAAATAATGAAATGTCAAAGCTTCCGCACTTCGCTCGGGAGGGGGGAACTCAATTCAGACAAGGATTAAGAGTCGAGAATGGTACAAAGAATCGTCTTCTTTCTCTAATAATTTAATTAAATGTCAAAGCTTCCATGCTTTGAGCGGGGGGGGGGGGGGGGAACTGAATTCAGAGAAAGGTTAAGAGTCAAGAACGGTACAACGAATCGTCTTCTCTCTCGAATAAATTAATGAAACATTAAGCTTCTGCGCTTTGCGCGGGAGGGGGGGGGGGAACTGAATTCAGACACGGAATAAGATTCGAGAAATGATACAACTTATCCTCTTCTTTCTCTAATAATTTCATGAAACATCAAAACTTCTGCACCTCGCGCGTAATGAGGGGGGGGGGGGGGGGGGGGAGCGAGCTGCCCGAATTTTTTTTTTTTTTTTTTAAATATCTTTTCTCGTTTATTTTGGTGATAAATAACACTTTCAAAAAGTACATAATATGAAGTGAGCGAAGCGAGCGAGCAAAAGTTTGAGCATAATGCTCAAACTTTTGCTCGCTCGCTTCGCTCACTAGCCGAATCGTAAAACCAGAAAACTTCTTTTTTCGGGCAAGAGGCATCCCCCCCCCCCCCCCCCCCCCCCGATGAAAATGTCATAATTTGTATAACTTAAAAACGGGGAATGTTGATATCGGACAAGAGATGTAACGTGAGCCAGCCCCCTTTCTAAAATTGTGCCTGCTTGTAGGTACCGGTGTGGTGCTTCTAATATGACCTTGTCAGTATTGTGGTATGTTAAGTTGAAAAAACGGTCTGCGCAATTCTCAAATTTTCCGCCCCCCCCCCCCCCCCCCCCCCCCCCCCCCCCCCTCCCCTCCCCTCTCCTCTATTGGAAAACCCTGGATCCGCGCCTGCCTTACGTGTTGTTAGGTTGCTGGGCAATACGTTTGTCACTAGGCACTTGACAAAGATGGATGCATTAAATTAGAATACATCTCGAACAATGACCTATTCAAAGGTAGCTAGCTGTGGGTAATTGTGGGTAATTCTGTCAAGCTAAAAATAGCGCTTTGGGATTCCCAGGTATAGGGTGTCATGTTACGTATTAGTCTAATATTTCAAACCCTTTATTCTTATTGATGCTTCATCGTTCATAGAGAATGTATTGATGCCTGTTGACATTAGGTGAACGTGCGGGGAGAAGAGGATACGAAGGGGTGGGGGTAAGTAGATCCCCACAAATCGAGAAAAAAAAGTCAATAGAGTAGTCAGAGTTCTGTATTATAATTATCCCAGAACAATATCCTGTCTCATAATCATATTTGGGTAGCTAGCTAGTCTGCCCAAATCATTTAATGTATTGTTCTGTGTATTTTATTGATGTAATATTCTTACTTAAGTAATTTTTTCCTTGGTTGCCAAACGTAGACTTATTGTCTGGAATTCAAAATTGTTATACCGGAATGCAATAGAAGTCAGCGAGTACACCTCCACTTCCCACCCCCACCCCCCCCCCCCTGCCAAAAATGTGCCCATGCTCGTTGATAGCCAATTTATAAAGAAAAGCCATGGCATTTGTTTCTCTAACTCTAAACAATAAATTTCCAATGATTAAATTTCCATGACTATTGATGACGATAGCAACTTCCGTTAGAATGAAAACTATCCTTTAGCTAATCCATAGGGTAGTACTTAACATTATGTACGAACATGACAATGACATATTACGTAATCCGAGGATGATTTCTATGGAATATACAATAGGCTATTTTAATTGCCCCAAACATGTATTTCTTCTTCCATGCACATACAATTATCTGATTATATAAAATCTATTCAACAAAAGTGACATGGACACGATCGCAAAGACATTTAGAAAATCAATATAAAGGTAATCTAATAAAGAAATTCTGATCGATGGACACCCAAAACTAATGCATTTTAGTAGGCCTAATGGAGAAATGATTAATTTCTTACATTTTCGTTACTTTATAAGGTTAAGTATCACTTACAAGCACGATCATGATCATGATACCCTTTTAAATACGTGGTTATCATCTATTCTTTGTTCTAGTTTCAATTTTAACTATTAGTTTTTGTTAAAATGTAATTTTCATTTAAATTTACAATTCCATTCAAATATTTGTTTTAAATGATCAATGATAATTCCTGAATGATCAGTTATTTCATGAGGACACCAATTAATTTGTATCATAACTGTTTATATGCTTGTCTATTTATATATTTAGTTTTTGCTGCTGTTATTTGTTTTATTCTTACCAGACAGGGCCTCATTGTAGACCACCATATCTGCCACCCTGTGTTAATATCAGAAATAAATAAATGAATAGTCCGCCAATGCAAGGGGACTGTAAAAGTATTCTACTATGTTACTCTTTGCGCATGTGCAATGGGTTTGTTATGATGGCATAGCAACCATTATAAATTTACTCACCAGAGAACCCGTGTTGAAGAAAGTCTAGCTAGTTTTTACTGTAGTAGGTCAATGATTTGACGATTTCTGCATCAAGAGATATTATTTTTAACCTAAAGAAGCCAAACCCGGTAAGTCAGCTCGGCTTTGGTTAGATACATCGGTCAAATTTGTTTTATCTGGTTTCTGACGATGTCGCCAGGACTCTTCCAAGTGTATACCAGTCTAGGGTGTTCTTTGAACCAAGTATTAGTGATGACCGATGTAAGATTTAGAAAGTTTTCTGTCATGACGTCGGTTCAGATTAACCATAATTTCATTTGGTCGTAAGAGGGCGTTTGTAGTTCGCCAGCCTAAAAGTCACGAAATTTGAAATGTTTTGTGGACAGTGATTCCATCAGTAATCCCCGACAATCGAGACAAGCCCAATGTTGTAAGTACTATAAAGCTGTTATTTGTATAAATCAATCTTTAATTGTTTGTATGAGGCCAAAAATGGCACAAGATATAAATCTAGTTTTCTGTAATTTTAAGATGAAAAGTACGTTAAAATGTTGTCTGTGCATGTAGCACCACATATAGACAAACGTAGGATAACGTGTGTGAATGCACAATTTGTGCATATATCAGTTTGTGTTGAGGATAATCTAGATTTGTGTGTAATGAGTGATGATAATTGACATGAAACAAGAGTATGAATTGTTTTCCTTGGTTATAAAGAATGTCAAGGGTGTAGAAGCAAATAGGAATTTAGTTCAGGAACCAAGTCCAAGTAAAGAGTGTAAGATAGAGGCAGGAAATAAGGCTGGTCGAGGGTTTATTTGTGTATGACGTTAACATACAAGATAGAGAGGTATGATTTGTAAGGGTTATATTTGTAAACAAAGGTAGAATTTGAGACAGTTCATTAGAATAAGATAAATGAGGCAGTTATACAGTTTGTGTTTGCACAAGTGAGCTTTACTCACATAGTTTATTCTTGAAGGTTTTCTTTACTCAGTTATGCATATTAAGGTCATTTATGGCAAGCTAGTTGTGCGATACAATAGATGTTTGTTTATTCATGTGAATTTGTACACATGCTTATGATTGCTTGTTTGTTTTATTGATATTACAGATGAACTGCATTTTATGCACGTATCTCAACTTGGATGTCGTCGTCCTTTCTTTAAGCCTACTGTTGGGGTCACTTCAGCAGAATTTAACGTCACACAAAGTTCATAACAGCTTTAGCATTCGTCACCATGAGTCAAGTAGGTGTTGATGATGTCAATCCAGAGGATTCTGCAAGTCAGGTTGGGAAGAGTTCCACCACGTCATCTGGACTTAGGACCAGGGCCAAGAGGGCTGCAATAGCAGCAGAATTAGCAGTTCTTCAGGAAGAACAAGAGATAGAACTCGAAGAAATACGCCTTAAGCAAAGGAAGGCTAAGTTACTCTTACGTGCCAAGCTCAGCGCAGCAGAGGCAGAAGAAGACGTGTATGAGCAACACAGGAGTGGCAGTAAGGTGTCGAGTATAGGGAATAGGAGTTCCAGTCAGCAGAATGTCAAGCAGGTGCATGAAAGTGCAGAGCATGCTACGGAACATCATCATCATGTCAGCAATCATGATGTCAAGGAACCTGCGCTCCTACAAGAGACTATTCCTTTTCCAGCTCAGCAAATGGCTTCATCTCCCATTTCAGGTCAAGCTTATCAACCACGAGACGACCGAGAATTTTATCTGCAGACCCAAGTTCAGCAACAACGATGGTTGGAAGCTATCAGTCTGGCTAATGTAGAGATGATGAAGTTTGATGGGAGTCCTTTGCACTTCCATGAATTTATGATGTCGTTCGACAACTTAATTGGTCGATCTTCACTCGATAGTGGGACAAAACTTATGAAGTTATATCATTGCTGTGAAGGAGAAGTTAAGGGCATCATACAGTGCTGTATGGTCATGGAACCACTGTATGGGTACCAACGAGCCAGAGAGCTGTTGGTGGAACGCTTTGGCAGCAAGTACAAGATAGGAGAAGCCTGGATCAAACGTATAACCACTGGTCCAATCTGCCATGCGAATGACCGGAAGGGGCTGCAGAAGTTTGCAGATGAGTTGAAGATCAGCATGGAAACTCTTCGAGCAATGGATCTACTGCAGGAAATTAGTAGCCAGAGAGAGTTGCTGAAGGTGGCTGAGAGACTTCCATATTACCTTAAAGGTAGATGGTTAAAGTTGGTGAGAGACATCAGACAGCAGGAGCGTTCTCCCGATATCTCGGACATGGCAAGGTTTGTCTCCAACGCTGCTGAGGAAGCCAATGATCCTGTCTTTGGAGATCTGACAGCAACAAGAAAAAGAGTTGAAACTTCAAACCCAGCTTTCAACAAGAAGAGTACAAGAAGTAACTACATGTACGCTACAGAGGTAACAGAAGTAGCAGTCAACCTGAAGTGCCTGAAGTGTAGGCAAGAACATTCCTTGTTTGGGTGCGACAGTTTTAAATCCATGGCACCCGAGATGAGATTTCAGTTTGCTCAGGACAACAGACTATGTTTCAACTGCCTGCAATCTGGCCACACCAGTAGGTTTTGCAGATTGAATAGAAGATGCTCAGTACAAGGATGCCAGAGAAAACACACAAAATTTCTCCATTTTGCACAGGATGCATCTTCATCTGCAGGAAGGATGACAACGACACAGGCTCCAGTTGAAACCCAGAACAACGAAGTCCATCAAGTCCAGAATGGGTTCGTTAAGAAGTGTGTCACAGGGGCCGGAAGGTGTGTGCTTCCCATTGTTCCAGTGAGGGTTAGAGCTCAAGGAGAGAATGTATTTGTGAATACATATGCACTGTTAGATTCTGGTTCAACCAGTACATTTTGTACAGCCACTTTGGCCAGAGAACTCAATGCTACTGGAAGGAAGCAAAGTTTAAGCCTGACAACACTGGAGAAGCGTAATAGCCCCATAGAGACCTCAGTGATTAGTCTGATTGCAGACACGGGACCAGATACAGACTGTGTGAAGCTACCCTGTGTGTATACCAGAGACGCCATTAATATCAGAGACACACACATTGCCAATGTGGATGACATTTCAGGATATCATCACTTAGAAGGAATCAACCTCCCGATCATTGAACGACATGAAGTTGGACTGTTGATAGGGCAGGATTCACCTGAAGCCTTGATACCTATCGAGGTGAGACGAGGACAGCATGGCCCTTATGCTGTTAGGACCAAATTGGGTTGGTCAGTGAGTGGACCTGTAGGTTCCAGTTCAGATGGTGTACCCAAAGCTACATCTAGCTTCATTGACAGTAATGATAGACTGGAGGAACAAGTCAGCCAATTCTGGAAGATCGAAGCTACAGATGTGCTTAAGAAAGACAAGGCAATGTCAGTCAATGACAAGAAGGTAATGGAAATATGGGAGAGGGACATCCAGCGGGAAGGTGCACATTTCCAACTACCGGTGCCCTTCAGAAGGAGACCACCTAACTTGCCTGATAACAAGTGGAGTGCAGAACAGCGTTTGAAATCGTTGGCAAGGAGATTGCAAAGAGATCAAGCAATGTATGTGAAATACAAACAGGGCATAGAGGATCTCCTCAGGAAAGGCTATGCAGAGGAAGTTAGTGAGGAGACTAGGCAACCCAAGGACACCCCTGTTTGGTATTTGCCCCACCATCCAGTCTTGAATCCCCAAAAACCAGACAAGATGCGAATCGTGTTCGATTGTGCGGCCAAGCACCAAGGGGTATCTTTGAATGATGCAGTGTTACAGGGGCCGGACCTTATAAACAATTTGATGGGAGTTTTGCTTAGATTCCGCCAGCAACCAGTAGCACTCATGTCAGATATAGAGGCAATGTTCCACCAAGTGAGGGTACCTCCAGAAGATCGAGACGTGTTGAGATTCTTGTGGTGGAAGGACGGAGACTTCAACAAGGAACCGCTGGTCTACCGGATGTGCGTCCACCTCTTCGGAGGTAAGTGGAGCCCAAGTGTGTGCAGCCATGCACTTCGTCAGACAGCAAGAAACGGTGATGGTAATGGTAAGGTGGAAGCATCTAAGGCCATTCTCGAGAACTTCTATGTGGACGACTGCCTGGTGTCAGTTGAGAATGAAGAAACAGCGGTGAAACTTGCTGCGGACTTGATGGTCTTGCTCAGTGAAGGAGGCTTCAGATTAACCAAATGGGTCAGTAACAACCCATTTGTCCTGCAATCCATACCAGAAGAAGAGAGAGCTAAAGATGTGAGGGGTCTGGATCTCAATCATGATGCTCTTCCAGTCGAGAGAGCACTTGGAATCAGCTGGGATGTAGAAACTGATTGTTTGCTGTACAAATTTAGACCCAAGGACAAACCCAAACCAGGAGGGGTATCTTGAGTGTTGTATCTTCCATCTACGACCCTCTCGGTTACGCCAGTCCTTTCATCCTAAAGGCTAAGATGATCTTGCAGGAACTAACCAGACTTAAACTTGCATGGGATGAGGAGATTCCAAGCAAGGAAATAGAGAGATGGAATGAATGGTTACAGGAACTACCCAAGATGACTGAATTCCAGGTCAACAGATGCATCAAACCACATGACTTTGGCAAGGTAGCAGAGTATAAGCTACATCACTTTGCAGATGCTTCAGAGAAAGCCTATGGAGTCGTTTCCTACCTGCGGATGAAGGATGTTGAGGGTCAGGTGCACTGCAGCATACTATTTGCAAGGTCACGTCTTGCACCCCTGAAGAGGATGACAATCCCACGGCTTGAACTGATGGCGGCTACACTCTCTGTCACTATAGACAGTATGATACAACGGGAACTGGATCTGCCGCTCCAAGAGTCAGTGTTTTGGACTGACAGTTCAATAGTACTTCATTATGTGAAGAATGAGGATAAACGTTTCCATACGTTTGTAGCAAACAGAATTACAACCATTCATGAGGGATCTGAACCAAGGCAGTGGCGACATGTTAACACTGATGTCAATCCAGCCGATGATGCCTCGCGTGGACTGACAGCTGAGGAATTGACTGGACGATGGAAAGAAGGGCCAAAATTTTTGTGGTCAGAAGAATGCGATTGGCCTAAAAGCTTGACAGTGAATGAGTCTAGCTTAGAGCATGACCCAGAGGTAAAGCAAGACAAGACTGGAGTGTTTGCTGCAGCCGAATCTGAAGTCAAGGCAACAGATAGACTCCTTGAAAGTTACTCGTCCTGGTTCCGGCTGAAGAAAGGTATTGCATGGATCCTGAAGGTCAAGGAGTGCTTGAGAAGAAAGGCACGCAAAGATATGAATTTACTGGATATGAAGCAGCCAGTAACAGTTGATGAGATGACTGTAGCTGAAGAAGCAATTGTCAGATACGTTCAGCAACAGACCTATGCTGAGGAGTACAGAGTCTTACAGCAAAATAAGACTACACAACGGTCACCCACTCGAATAGCAAAATCCAGCCCACTATCTAAATTGAGCGTGAAACTCACAGACGAAGGATTGATATGCGTTGGAGGAAGACTACACAATGCACCACTAGAAGAGCAGACAAAACACCCAGTGATTTTGCCTTCCAAGCATCATGTAGTACAGCTTTTGGTGAGACATTACCACATTATGTGTGGTCACTCAGGGAAGGAGTATGTGCTATCCCTACTCAGACAACGATTTTGGATAATCAGAGGGAGGTTAGCAGTTCGTCATGTACTACACAAGTGTTTCACATGTAAACGTCAACGTGCAAAACCAGTGGAACAGAAGATGGCAGATTTGCCGGCAGATAGAGTGGTACCAGAAAAACCTCCATTCAGTAACGTGGGAGTTGACTGCTTTGGCCCATACATGGTGAGACAAGGAAGGAGCTCTGTGAAGAGATATGGATGTATATTCACTTGTCTGGTTATAAGAGCAATACACATAGAGGTACTGCATTCATTGGAGACGGATTCATTTCTGAATGCCCTTCAGAGATTTATTTCACGCAGAGGACAACCAGAGATTATCAGATCCGACAATGGTACAAATTTCATAGGTGCTGAACGTGAACTGAGGGAGGGATTGAAACGATGGAACCAGGAGAAGATCCACGATAATCTCCTTCAACAAGGAATTGATTGGAAATTCAATCCACCGAGAGCATCCCATATGGGTGGATCATGGGAAAGACAAATCAGAACTACGAGAAAGGTCTTGAATGCAGTCATGAAGCAGCAGGTTCTGAATGATGAGGGCTTAACGACTCTTATGTGTCTAGTAGAGGCAATTATCAATGGGCGTCCACTCACCATAACATCTGATGACGCAAGGGATGCAGAGCCTCTCACACCAAATCATCTGCTGCTCCTGAGGTCAAAAAATGCTCTACCACCTGATGTGTTCCAGAAACATGATCTGTATGGACGTCGACGCTGGCGGCAGATTCAATACCTGGCAGACTTATTTTGGCACAGGTGGGTGAAGGAATACCTACCTTCCTTACAACAGCGGCAGAAGTGGCTGAAAGAGACGAGAAATCTGGAGGAAGGTGACATCGTGCTGATTATCGACAATCTGCCGAGGAACAAGTGGTTGACGGGAAGAGTAATCGAAACCTATCCTGGGAAGGACAAGCTCGTCCGATCGGTGAAGCTGAAACATAGCACCGGTATCCTAGTCAGGCCTGTGCAGAAACTATGTCTTTTGGAAGAAGCAGATAGCGTATTGGTGAACCACAGCGACTAATTGGAGCATTCATTTCTTATGTGAGATAATTATATTGATGCACGGTGAATTAAACGTGCGAGGTGAGAGCCTAGCGCCGCCTCTTGTGAATTTTGTGTCGCAATTTTCCTGATCCGTGACGAGCGTAAGATCCTGATCATCATGTTTCAGTTTTGGAAGAAGCAAAGAGCGTAAATTGGTGAACCGTGGAGAGCGATCTCAATTTAAATGGATCCACAGCGAAGAACGACTAAATTGGAGCATTAGTTTCTTATGTGAGATAATTATATTTGATGCACGATGAATTAAACGTGCGAGGTGAGAGCCTAGCGCCGCCTCTTGTGAATTTTTTATGTCGCGATTATCCTGATCCGTGACAAGCGAAAGATCCTGATCATCATATTCAAGTTAGACTGACGTCGACGCAAGACAGAACTCGTTTACAGCAACAAACTTGTTTAAGCGCAAGAAATTGATAAAAACAGTCCTCAGACTTTATACAAGACTATTTGCGGTAACATTGTGCCCTTGAGGTAAATCAGGCACGTTATATTTGAGGACAGTGGACTCTACTCTTGAAGAGTAATAAACATTTCAGCCTTGTTATAGACTATGTCATATTATGTTTATTAGTCAATACTTGAAGAAAGACTATAATGGACTTCAGAATACATGTATTCATTTCAGTATTGAACTGAGACTATTGCTGAAAGATTTTTTTGTTCGAACGATATTCATACGTAATTTCTTACATGTTTTTTCCTAAGAGCAGGAGTTAAATATTTGACCACTACAAATGAGAATAATTTGTTATGATAACATGTTATTTGGTCAATGCATGAGCATACAAATATGTAGTGTCTAGTTCAATTTGAAACTTTAAAGAACCGAATTGTGTTGATATTTGATGCATAGACCCAAAAGAGGATATTTGATATGAAGGGGATAGTTGAACTAAAGTTTTGTATACCGGAAGTAAATTGACAATTTACTCAAGATTGCGAATGATGAGAAAGTTTAATCACAGAAGCACCATTTTCTGAATTTGAAAATCATTTTTTGTGTGTAACCCTGTTGTACTTAGTGGTGGGCTACTGAATTTTGCTTGAAAACTCACAAAAAAGGGGGTTTAGTTTCAAGAATCGAGTACTGAAATACACAGTTCTGAGTAGTTAGCAGCTCTAGTGCATAGAGGTACATGTAGAATCATTATGTTTGAGCTGATATATTTTGTATTTTCCTTTGGTAATTCACTAGATAACTCAAAGTGTGTAAGGAATGTCAAGGACTTTAACAATCCTTGTTATTGTTATTTGCTACAGAGTGTCAACAATTGTGTTGAGATTTAGTTAATGTGTACTCTATTAAGGCAACTGATCGTTTTGCCCAATGTTACTTTAATTGACCTGTCGGTATACATTTTTAGACGACAAGTGTTTGTTGTGTATAGGCTATAAATTCACCCTAAAGGCATTTACTGTAATGTACTACATTGTGTAAATGAAATTAATGGAATGTGCTATGCAGAGTTGAGTGTAAATTCTGAATGTTTAGTTGTGTTTTATTAACAGAAAAGTTAGACAATTTGAATGAAAGTTGAAGTTATTTGGATAAATGCTTTGCTGTGGCTACGCATTTAAGGGGCCGGGATGTAAGATTTAGAAAGTTTTCTGTCATGACGTCGGTTCAGATTAACCATAATTTCATTTGGTCGTAAGAGGGCGTTTGTAGTTCGCCAGCCTAAAAGTCACGAAATTTGAAATGTTTTGTGGACAGTGATTCCATCAGTAATCCCCGACAATCGAGACAAGCCCAATGTTGTAAGTACTATAAAGCTGTTATTTGTATAAATCAATCTTTAATTGTTTGTATGAGGCCAAAAATGGCACAAGATATAAATCTAGTTTTCTGTAATTTTAAGATGAAAAGTACGTTAAAATGTTGTCTGTGCATGTAGCACCACATATAGACAAACGTAGGATAACGTGTGTGAATGCACAATTTGTGCATATATCAGTTTGTGTTGAGGATAATCTAGATTTGTGTGTAATGAGTGATGATAATTGACATGAACCAAGAGTATGAATTGTTTTCCTTGGTTATAAAGAATGTCAAGGGTGTAGAAGCAAATAGGAATTTAGTTCAGGAACCAAGTCCAAGTAAAGAGTGTAAGATAGAGGCAGGAAATAAGGCTGGTCGAGGGTTTATTTGTGTATGACGTTAACCTACAAGATAGAGAGGTATGATTTGTAAGGGTTATATTTGTAAACAAAGGTAGAATTTGAGACAGTTCATTAGAATAAGATAAATGAGGCAGTTATACAGTTTGTGTTTGCACAAGTGAGCTTTACTCACATAGTTTATTCTTGAAGGTTTTCTTTACTCAGTTATGCATATTAAGGTCATTTATGGCAAGCTAGTTGTGCGATACAATAGATGTTTGTTTATTCATGTGAATTTGTACACATGCTTATGATTGCTTGTTTGTTTTATTGATATTACAGATGAACTGCATTTTATGCACGTATCTCAACTTGGATGTCGTCGTCCTTTCTTTAAGCCTACTGTTGGGGTCACTTCAGCAGAATTTAACGTCACACAAACATGCTCTCCTCCTCAGACCACTAACATATTGCTCCGATTGTCTCATTTTCGCTCGCGTGAACATTGCCAGCACAAACCACTGATGACCTCTACGTCCTACACGGATCATCGCACATTCCCATTCACTATACGTTACGTACTAAAAGGCTGTATTGTCTGACCGTTCATGAACATTCATGTTTTTGCTAAACTCGGCAAAATGTTTGTTTTTACTAAAAGGAAAAATTACGGTGGGGGGTTGGATGAAATGGACAAAACGAAATAGGCAGAAGTGATCTATGATAATTCATGCTTTTTATGTTTCGTGTGCTCGACCTATAATCTTCAACTCGCTTGGTAAACTGAGTCCAAAGTTAGACTTGTTTCACATGTGTATTATAGGCAATGACGAGCTTGCAACCTATTTTGAAAAATTACGGTGGGTGAACTTTCAAAAGTCAATGAGACATGAGGGCTCCAATGAAAGAGCTAGTGATAACGTACGTCGGGGTGGATGTGCTTTTCGTTTAAACAAAAAATGAATTTTTCCATAGGCTAACATGTTAGGCTGCTGAATCTGACCATGCTCTGACGATAGGGGGCGTCGTGAAATGAGACTAAACGGAGCCATATGACCCATCTGTCCCCTCGTTCATTTCTTTCACCAATTTCATGCGGACATACTGCTTTGCCCTCTGTACCATGACCAACTTTAGCGTTCAGGTCTCCCAGGACAATGACAATGTCATTCGATTTGCACTGAGATTTAGCTTTATCTAAGGAATCATAAAAGGTGTCAATAACTTCGTCAGCACTATCTGCCGTTGGTGCATAAATCACTATGATTGAGATATAAAGTGTTTCCCTGTAATTTCACTAGGAGCACCCTATCACTTACACACCAGTGTCCCAATCTCGAGATGATGAAGACGCGCCTAAAGAGATATTGAGATATCTGGATCCAGCAGTAACCCCACACCCCTTTCATGCTTTTCACCTCCTGCATAAATCGATCTGTACTCATCTATCACAAACTCTCCGTTATTCAGCCATCTCGTTTCATTTAGTCCCAATATATTGACATCTAGCCTCATTATCTCTTGTTTAACATTTTCAACTCTGATTCCTAATGCGAACAGTAGCTGGCTGACGGTCGGGGCCCACCTGTCGCCCATGGGACACCCTACCGGGCGAGGTGCTTGTCCCTTGAGGTAGACGAGCCCCCTTTACGCCTTTGGCTTTTGTTTTAGAGTTGTGGTTCATCATGATTGTTCTTGGAATAATAGTGAAGTGGTTTTCTGTTGCCTTCTTCACCGCAGTATGTAGCCGTATCTGGGATCATCCAGCACGCCAGGCATCAGAGGTTCACCGTTGTCCTAAAAGGATCTTCCGCCGAAACACTCCTACGGCATTGCTGCTGCTCGCTGATTTGTGTAATAGATTTTTCTTTCTTCATTTCTACTAACCTTATTGGCGTGTAGCCAGTGGCGGAAGGGGCAGTAAGATTACATAGGAAGACAAAGGAGCAGACAAAGAAACATTTTTGAAAATTCTGACAAGTCGAGAACGGTACAACGAATCTTCTTATTATCTAATAATTAATGAAATGTCAAAGCTTCCACGCTTCGCTCGAGAGGGGGGCAGCTCAATTCAAACAAGGATTATGAGTCGAGAATGGGTAATGAATGAAGCTTAAAAGCTTCCGCGCTTCGCGCAGGAGGGGGGGGGGGGAACTGAATTCAGACAAGGATTAAAAGTGGAGAATGGTACAACAAATCGTCTTCTTTCTCTAATAATTTAATGAAATGTCAAAACTTCCATGCTTCGCGCGGGAGGGGGAAAACTGAATTCAGACAAGGATTACGAGTCAAGAACGGTACAACGTATCGTCTTCTATCTCTAATAACTTAATGAAACGTTAAGCTTCTGCGCTTTGCGCGGGAGGGAGGAGGGGGGGGGGAACTAAATTTAGACAAGGATTAAAAGTCGAGAATGGAACAACGAATCATCTTCTTTCTCTAATAATTTCATCAAACTGAGAAAAATGTCCCCCCCCCCCCCCCGTAGCAGTAGCTGGCTGACGGTCGGGGCCCACCTGTCGCCCATGGGACACCCTACCGGGCGAGGTGCTTGTCCCTTAATTGAGGTAGACGAGCCCCCTTCACGCCTTTGTCTTTTGTTTTAGAGTTGTGGTTCATCATGATTGTTCTTGGAATAATAGTGAAGTGGTTTTCCGTTGCCTTCTTCACTGCAGTATGTAGCCGTATCTGGGATCATCCAGCACGCCAGGCATTATCAGAGGTTCACCGTTGTCCTAAAAGGATCTTCCGCCGAAACACTCCTACGGCATCGCTGCTGCTCGCTGGTTGGTGTAATAGATTTTTCTTTCTTCATTTCTACTAACCTTACTGGCGTGTAGCCGGTGCGGAAGGGGCAGT